TCACTGACGCAGTTATTAATTACGCCGGAGGTAGTAGTGCTGCTATAAACTAACACTAATTTACTTGTCATTTAAAGGAAAATAAACATTGGCTATAAATAATGGTTCTTTTCATCATTAGTAATTTGCTAAGAAATATAGCCAACAACTTCAGTTGATGTAAGACTTTCCAAAAATCAAAAAACCAAAACAAAGGAAAACAGCTTTGCAGTAGAACATGTGGAAAATGTTTAGAAGACAATATCACTGCACCAAGTCATCCGATTTAAATCATCATTTTTCTGTTTTTTGGCAATTTCGTGAACTTTTAAAAGACTAACAACAAAAAGTTTTTTTTTTTTTTTTTTTTTTTTTTGTTCTTCCCTACCTCGCCTTTTAGGCTATACGGGATTTTCCCGGGCCGGGGGGTGAGGGCGGGGAATTTAAAATCCCCTCCGGAACCGGGACGCGAACTCGTACTTTTTATATCATCTTAAATCTCTGTCATCCGGTTGCCAGGCAACTAGCGGTGCTGTGCACACGCTTTAGCCTATTCGGCCACCCCGCCCCCGATATTGAAAATAATATACCAAACCCTAAACATTTCAAATAGGAGACCAAAAGTCATTAAAAAAAATGTTTTTGTCATCATCATTATCATCATCATCATTCCCCGTTCTTCCGCGGTTCGGTGTGAGGGTCCTCCTTATAGAGTTCTGCCCAACTGTCTCTCTCCTGCACCAATTCTCTTCATCATATCATCAAGATTTGTGGAACTTAGATTACAATTTTATCGAGTTGTTTGAAGTTCATGTTTTTTTTATCTCCGCTTTATTTATTTATTTGTTAACTTGTTTATTGAAAAACATTATAATCTCTCTCAAAGGACATTTATAACAGTGTTCTGAGATCACATTCACACAGATCTGCCTCGTTCCAAAACTCGTTTAATGCTCGCTCTGTTAATTTCTGGAATTCCCTTCCTATCAAAATTCGGCATTCTCCCTCTATACCTTGTTTAACTAATATTTTCTTTACTTTCTCTTTGTTATTATTATTTTATTTTGGCCAGATGTAGTATTTTAATTATGTTCTATTTTGTTATTCTAAAGGGACTTTGTCCCAAAATAATGTTATTTTCTATTATCTATTTCTATTTTTTCCTATCTACATTTAAAACCCTCCTATTCCAATTTCTATCCCAAAAACAGTCAGACACTCACCGCTAACCTTTTATGTAAATTTATATATTATTCAAAATGATTCACATAATGGTATATTTACATATAATTCATGACTTAAATAATTACTATCAGATTCGTCTTCTTTTTCTTTTTTTTTTTCTTTCTTCAGAAACACAGAGTTTATTTCTAGGAAGAATGTAATGCATTTTTTAAAGTGTATACTTATGTTTTACCACTGTACATAGTTTTAAGTATCTCGGCATAGTTTCAAGTGTTTTGTATATAGATTTTTAAAAAGAAATTTGTACATAGTATATTTAACTAATATTTTCTTTACTTTTTTTTTATATTTTTTAATTTTGTTTAATATTTTGTATATAAAATTTTGTAACTAATATTTTCTTTGCTTTTTTATTTTATTTTATTTTTACTTTTTATGTTAGTTTTTACTTAGGCCAGATATAATACTTTAATTTTTTACTTTGTTGTTATTCTAAAGGGACTTCGTCGAATAAAATTATTTTTCTATTCTATTCTATTCTATTTGTACAATAAATAAAATAAATTTATTAATATTAACTTCATTTATAATACTTTAAACAGAGTGAATAATTTCAGAAAGTTAGTCGAATGTTTTACATATCATTGGTGATAAATAGTCAGGACTCAGCTCTGTGTTCAACGTAAAAGTACTTAAAAGTACATTCTCATATACTTGTCGAATATCCTATCTAAAAGTGTGCCCGGCTTGGTTGTCTTCAGGACATAATGTTCAATTCTTCGGTTTGTACCGATGCTCTCAAAATATTATCTTTATACAGTCTGAACAGTGCAGCCGTGACCGATTGTTGTTTAATTATTTATGCTTAGATTATGATGCTTCTGGACTAGAATTCCATCATGCAATCTTATGGCAGCGAAAGTCGAATTAGAAAAAAATGTAGATCGTATACAATTAACTTTAAATTAAATTTTCTCTAAATAGAAGCCCCACAAAATGTGGTTACCTAAAAAAAAAGTAACCCCGAAAACGTAGCCCTTCAAAAATCTAAAACGCTTTAAAAATGAGCATTCCTAAAAATTGTTCAGGCTCAACTCTCTTCAGGGCATCCTTGATTTGTTTGTTGAGGTTTCAAGGCGTAAAACATCCAAGTTATCAACACTTGCAAATTAACCTTGTTTATCTTTGAATTAAATTTTTAATTTTATTTAACAAATTGTTTGATTTTAGGAAATCTAACATTAACTTTATAGTGTCTTCGTCATCACTTAGAATATTTGATATTGGAGGTGTAAGTCCTAGATTATTTAGATTTGATATATAAAAAGAACATTCCTGTAACATGTAGCTGAGTGTAAGTGAATTATTACAGAGTTGACATTGTGGTGATGGCTTCTTGTTAATGAGATGTAATGAGTAAGATTGGCGTCGCCTATTCTTAGTCTGGTTAAGACAAATTCTCTGCGGATAAGGCGATTCGATGTTGACCACTGCTTTACTGTTTTTTTAAAAATATATTTTAATTTGATTGGCGAACTCTCAATCCATATGGGTTTCCAGCTATGAATTATTTATTACTTTCCTACCTATACTAGGTTAGGAAAGTATTACAATCGGGTCAAATTTCCGACATGCGGTTTTCGACGGATCTATACGTTTCAGAGCCCCTTGAGTCCTAAAAACATATTTTTAGCCATTGGTCTGTCTGTCTGTGCCAAGATTTTCTCAGGAACTACTGAACCGATTTTGTTGCTTTTTTTTTTATTTTGTAGGGTTTGGACTACCGATGCCTGTGACAGAAATTCGATGCTCCGTGAGCAATAGCTTGCGCGCAATAAATGAAAAACCTGTTTTTCTATAGACTGTAGAGCAAAAACGGCTCTAACGATTTTGATGAAACTTTCCTATAATGTTCTAATCATTGTCCTTTCAATTTTCGTGTATAGATAGATAGATAGATAAAAAAAAAAACTTTATTCTGGGACTAAGTCCCTTCAGAATAACAATAATGTACAAAATAATAGAATATTACTGGTCTGAACGTTTGAAACTATAAATAAAATTGATAAAATAAAATAAAAAGTAAAGAAAACCTTAGGTGCACAAGCTATATACAGTACAGATAAAACTATGTACAGAGCATTTAAAATTATGAACAAAACAATTAAAACTATGAACGAATCACTTGAACTATGAACAAAATTATATATAAGGGTTGAACAACATAAACATACACTTTGAGAACTGAAGAACGAAAAAGAGATACAATGAGTTCATTTCATAAAAAAAAAAACTTTAGTTGTATATATATATATAAAAATAAACAGTTAATTATAATTGAATAAAAAAAAAAAAAATGTATGTATTGAAATTCCTACATCGATAGTAGGAAATGCATGTACTATCTCTTACCAAGTATTATACCATGATTATATGATTGCTACACAATACATATATAATATTAATAGTTAGCTGGTATCTGACTGTTTTTGGAACAGGAATTGGAATAGGAGGTTTTTGAATGTGTATAGGGAAGGGGCATGTCGAATTTTGATCGTGAGGGAATTCCAAAAGTTGACAGAGCGGGCTATAAAGGAATTTTGGAATGAGGCAGATCTATGAGAAGGGATGTATAGGTCAGAGGGTCGGGATCTTGTAGTGAGGGAATGGATTGAGGACTTAAATTGGAGAAGGTTGTAGGCATAAGAAGGACGATGATCGGTAATGATTTGATAAAGGAAAGTGCCTAGGAAATATTGTCTTCTTAAGGAGGGGAAGAGCCACCCTAACTCAGTGTAGTGACGGGAGCTTCTTGGGTCCCTATATAGACTAAATTGCAGAAAAAATTCAGGAAAAAAAGTTATAAACAAAAGAAAAATGTAATTTGGCCTAACTCTCTAAGTATATATTATACGGTAAAATTTATAATAAAACTTTTGAAAGCTTTTTAAAACACATTTTTTTAACTTATTACTTTCCTACCTATACTTGGTAAGGAAAGTATTGCAATCGGGTCAAATTTCCGACATGCGGTTTTCGACGGATCTATACGTTTCAGAGCCACCTTAGTTTTGGACAACTATTAACGAAGTTACAGCTATTCAATTTCCAATGTAAGATTAAGGTTTCATATCCTGGTGTCAGAAAGATTGAATGAGAGAATAAAGATGACTAAATGAAAGTAAGAAAATCTGTTGCCTGCATCACACAATCTTCACTATTTCATATACTTTTAACAGAAATTGCCTACCTTAAGCCGGTTTACATTGCTTTAGTTTATCAAATAAATCGTACTCAAATCTTATGTTTGATCAATTTTCAAGAAAATGTATCTAGTTCAATTCTTTTTTATTTTTTCATGAACATATGTAACGATATAATAACTTTTCTAAAATAGGTAGGAAAGTCGTGTGAGTGGACACACCAGATATTTTTTTAAGGGGAAGACTTGTATCTTGCGGTGTTAAAATGGCAGCATCCTAGCCTGGAAGGGTAAGCGGTTGTTTCGCTGCTACATCCGCCAGATCCTTGTTTTGTAACATGTCAGTACTGTTGATATACTATTATTTATTTTTTTACTGATGTATTTTTAATAACAAAATGTTGTTATTTATTTATTATTTTAGTGTGTAGTGTTAAAGCATGATACTACTAATAGTAATTTGTAAAAACTAAAATAGCCAGCCAGACCTCTATAATCGTCCTACAGAACATAAGAATTTTTCGATCTATCTATGAAGTTTTTCTAACAACTTCTCATACGGACGATTACTTTAATTGCATTAAGGAGCTTAATTGCCAATCCTGTTTGAAACTTGCGTGTCAGTGTTTCCGACCGGGCCCACAAGCAGCGCTGCGGTACTGTATATATACTGATGGAGGACACAGCGTAGTTTAGCTGAGTGCGAATAGAAGAAGATGCTTTTGCAATTGTTATTGTTGGCGGTGAGCTGTCGGGCCGAGGTGGGACCCATCGTCGAAACCTCCCAGGGGAAGGTTCAAGGGTTCATCAATGTCTCCAGGGGTGGCAAGAACTACAAGGTCTTCGCTGGCATCCCCTACGCGAAACCTCCGGTCGGGGAGCTACGGTTCAAGGTGCTCAACATAATATAATATAATAATACAATATACATATTTAAAAGCTCCAATTTTTAAGTCATTTCTAGATCCAAAAGTTTAAAAGCTTTTTCATCCCCAACTTTTCAACATACATAAATATACATATATATATACACACACACATATATATATATATATATATATATATACACACACACATACAAATATGTATATATATGCATACTAAGAGAGCTCAGGAAACTGGAGAAATGTGATACAAATAGACTAATGGAGTTTTCAGAGTTTCATTGCCTACCTTCTTCATAGGTACGGTTTGTGCTATTTTGTTGGTCTTAATGAATTTTCGCATTGATATATATGACCAAAATTCACAAATGTGTTCTTTAAGGTTTATCTCTATTAAATTTTTTTTCGAAATAGCACAAATGCCAGAAAATAATTTAGTAGTAGAATGGTAAGTGAAAGTTGTGTTATATACACGAAACATGTCACTAAGTTGTCGTATAAGTTCCATATGTATAATTAATAGTTAACATTCTTTTGGTTATATTTGGAAATATGAGTTTTAAAATAACAATTTTTTACTTTCACTTATCTATATATGTAATTTATTGTAAGTGTGAGTATTGCGATCGTGAACATTTTTGAATCTGAGTTTTCGTCGGAAATACACGTTTTGGCACACGTCCCCTAAGTCCAAATAAGCAAGTTAGGAAAAATGGTCTGTGTGTATGTGAACACTCTAGCTCGAAACTGAAAAGTTGTACAAAACTGATATATGATTTAAGATAGATATATGCCTTAGATGTCCTGATAACTTTTTCTTTAAAATCGGCTTGCCGGAAGTGCCACTTTATATCAACGCTGAGACTCATTTTTACAATTTTCTCAAAAACGGCCCTAACCCTTTTCATTAAACTCGGTGTATCATTGTATAATTAAATGATCTTTAATATCAATTAGGTCTTATCCCCGTTGATATCCTTAACAGGGCTTGGATGCCCAATGTTCATATGCGTCTTTCTCTAAAGTACCTTTAATATGGTTTATTTTAAATAATCAACTATTTTTCATTATTAAGAGTTACGAAAAAATGCTAAATGTAACTTTTTAAAGAATTTAATAATTGCATAAAGGCAAAAAAAATAAAATTGGTTATACAGGTCGAAAATGAATCTCCGGAAATAAAAGTCAAAAAGTATACGATAAGTAGAAGATGTTTAATTTTTACTTACCTATATACACATTTAATATATATAATAACTGTCCGGTATAAAGGGTCCTTGAGTCCAAATAACCAAGTTCCGCGAAATGGTGTGTGCAGGTGTGTGAGAACAGCCTAGCTGAAAAATGAAATTCGTATGAAACGGAAATTACGTATTTAAAGTAGAAATATGCGTTGGATCTCAATTAATTGGGAATGTTATTTTATATCAGCTATTTTACACTTTGTTTTAAACAATTTTCTCGAAAACGGGAATACGTTATAAAACTAAAATAAAAAGTTTATCGTGATGTAGAGATGGTTGACCGTGATATAATATTAGGATATGATCGGTGGGGGGGGGGGGAGGAGAGGTGCGGTATACTTTTGTATACTAAATTATACAAATAGTATTATTTAATTTTTTTGCCGACGTTTCGACCCACTTTGCAGGTCTTCATCTTTAATAAAGTTTATCACTTTATTACCTTTGTTTTATAACTTCTTAAGTTTGTTCTGTTATTTCATAAGTTCCTAACTTCCTCACCGTAATTTAATATATCATCCGTTAATCAATCTAATTATACATATAAACTGTTGTTTTATATTTCATCTTTAGGGTTATCGCACCAATGATGGACATGGCTAGAGAAATTTTCTTCTATTTTGGCTTATGCCGCCGTAATTATTATAGTTATCAAGTTATATGCAGGGGTGCCGATCCCTCTGAAGGTCAATGGAGCAAGAACCTATCCCCTCCCCCCCCAAGATATTTTATTGCTCACCTTTTCTTAAAAACAGAGCAAACAAAGGTAGAATTAGAAAAATCGGTCATACGGTCATACGTATACAGTTACACTTGCTGCAGTCTGTTCCATGTTTTCTGGTTGTCTCTTAAAATGAAACTTTTCAATCTTCCGCCGAAATATGCCCTCCTCAAAAATTTTAAAAATTAAAAAAACACCATCTAGGCACCCCTACTTCTACGTTAGACATTTAGAATCTCTTGGGTCTCTTTTTTTCTATTTAACACTGTAAAATTGAAAAAAATATTCAGTTATGCTGATATAATCTCCATTTAAAAAAAAAAAAAACATTTTTGCATAGTGATGGACACCCTAAAATTTATTGTTCTAGTAATGGACAGGGGGTCGGTACCATAATAGACATACCTTAGAAAAATTCTAAAATCTTTATTTAACTATATATATATATATATGGATAAAAATAAGATAGCATAAATGTTCAACTTACTCTTAGCAGAACTGTTAGTAGGAAGGTATGGAACACATACTGATCTCAATAGCACTATAGAAACAACAATGGTTGGCATTCTAAAATTTTCTTTTGGGAACTTTGTTCGCACAGTTGTCAATAGAGGGCATTGTTCTTCAATCTAGAAAAAACTGGAATCTTTCAATCAACATTTAGCTTATTATTTACATATAAAGTCCAACCAGTTCATAATTGGTGCGTTAACCTTAATTGCTTTCTTAAGTTCATTGAGTTGTCACAATTATTTTATTATTTTTTACTTCACCACATTATTACCTTTATTTTATAACTTCCTAAGTTTGTTCCATTATTTCATAAGTTTCTAACCGTTAACTTATATTTCTTAACTTTGCTACCGCTATTTTATAAGTTCCTGCTTTGTTAACATTTATGCTTCCTTAATTTACTTATTATTTTTATATACCATTTCTCAATATTTATATTATATGTTATCTTGTGTATGCTTAACCCTGATGAAGACCCGAAACTTAGGACGAAATGTCGGAACAAAGGGAATAAAAACAATCTATTTATTTTTACTTTGTATTTTGACAGAAAAACCCAATTGATTTTTGTTTAATTGTTTACTGCAGTTAACCATCAATTCATTATCATATTAGGATATAAATGGAAAATCCAAACTATAAATCATTGAGTACTTTTAACATGGAGGTGGACAATTAATCTGCCAACGTTTTATCAATTCAGGTATCATTTGGATTGAAAAAATAAAATCTTAAATATAAAAATTAATTTTGTTTTTAAAGACATAAGAATTACTTGAGAAATCTCACCATTCGATTCCAATATATACTGAAGAACTCGAGAGGTTCCATAATCACAGTAGAAGAAGAAGATTAAGTACAAATTTTTAATTTTTTTTTCTCTCATCCCTTCTAACCCATTGTTTAGTTTATGTTTAGTTTATTCTTTCTCTACTGCGCTTATGCAACCTTACTTTTGTTTCCTTCAATATTTATCTGGATGGCTTCGTGAGATGTCTATAGGAAATGTTTTTGGTTTATTATTTTCAATAATGAACCATTGTAATTATCCAAAAAATTAAAAAATTGAATCCCCCCTCAAAATTTGATACGTACGATACGTAGAATTCGAAAAACGAATAAATACGATTTTACCCATCCGCTGTTCCTGGCTTTTCTCCGAGACGACTGAACCGATTTTTTTCTAATCTGGGATCAAAGCCTCGACATTACTTCTGCCCTTTTCTTCCAAGATGGCGGCCCAAAAACCTGTGTTGGTACAGACTGTATTGCACTTTAAATTTATCTACATAACGTACTTAAATGAAAAGAAGCTGGGAAAAAAGTTAGATGGGGTAGTAAAATTAGATTTCCGAATAACTCAAGAAGAATAGACTTTTTTGTTGATGTATGGTTTTCTTTGTTAAGTTCCGAGACGTCCTAAAAAATAAATGTTGAAGTCGAACAATATAATTTAAAGATATGGTGTTCTAAATATTTTTTATAAGTTCTACTTCAAAGTTTATACCTTTTGTTTTGGCTTTTGAAAGTTATCCATCAACCGAAGCAATTTTGTCTATTCCTTTTTAGCAAATTATCAATGGTTAAAAAGAAAATTATTTATGCCAATGTTAGGAATCCCTTTTTTTTATTTTCCTTAATATTACATGCAAACTAATGTAAAGTTTGATGTTCAATTGTTTTGAAAATACTGAACAATTGTGTAATATATGGCAGCGTTTTTTTTAATTCATTTTTTTCGATTTAAATATATGTGATCTTGTTTTTTTCTGTCCTGATGATGGCTGGATTGGCGAAGCGTGGGCCGATTAACCGTTCATCTGTATGTTAGACTCAAGGCTTTATGGTTTGGATTTTTCTATTTATATCTTATTTATTTCATGTCTCTTTCATGTATGTTCATTTATAGTAAAAGTGTACACATTATAAGAAATATTAAAGGAAGGTTAAAAAATAACGTATTCCGGTAAAAATAAAATAAAACTATTGATAAATTCTCATTGTTCGACGGAACAATGAAGTCTATTATAATTTCAGAAGGATTTCCTTTCGCCATTAAGCTCAGTTTATCCATTGCTTATTATAATCTGTTCTACTCACAATCGGTCTGTAAACAAATATATAAAAAATGGTAATAGAAGAAATTGTCACAACATAAAAAATAAGTAAAGACGTTATTGATGAAAATTGACCTAATATTTAGGCGAGTTGTCAATCAAGAGCTAAGCCATCTCTGTCGAGGGGAGAGTGGTTGAAATCATTTTAAAATAATTGTTTCTGCTTTGTGACTATTTTCCTCCTTAGCCATTCAATAAAAAAAAAATAATAATAAAACACTTCAAAAGACCTTATCCATTCTAGAGGATGCATGTATATCTATGAGATGTGTGAAAAAAGAAATAATACTGAATTTTTATCTATCATAGTTATTATTTTTTTCAAACAATACTTTATAATAGGCTTTAAATTCTTTAAAAGGCAGCTATACATCGATGGAGTGGTTGTTCTCAATCTTGATAGCAGTACTGAAAGATTTCAACTTGAAGGGCTTTTAACAAGTCAGCCATATTTTTTTTTATGGTTACCCCGAGTCCCAAAATGACGTTCTTGTAAGACATTATTCAATTTCAGGAAAAGAAAAAAGTCACAAGGACTCAGATAAGGTGAATAAGGAGGCTGGGGAACAACAGGAATGTCTTTTTTTGGCCATAAACGGATTTGGATGATATTTAAGGTTTTGATGGAATTTGGACAATTTTTCAGGGATAAGGTCTAGGATAAATGGGATATTAAGGTCATGGTGTAGAGTTTGGTGATTAAATAGAACGGGGCATCAACTATTGTTCGAAAGACATTGGAGTGAAAGGATTGAATGCGTTTGATGTAAGAGTGGGGGTTTCATGGCGCACAATTTTTTGATGAGGTTTTGAATTTTCGGAATGAATAATTTCATTCCAGAGGATAAGGAGAAAACATAGAGCATACTATAGAAAGTTTAATTGTATATAATTTACATTTTTTATAAATCTAATTTCGCATGCACTGGTTTTAAGAACAGGTGAATACTAAAATACCTCGGAGGAAGAGAGATGGGCAACCTTTGATCTTCGAGCTTAAGGTACAAAGAGATATTTGAAAATATATCTATATATTTAATCTATAAATAAGTAAGGATGACGTTGCATAGCAAAGCGTATAAGAACTAAATCTGAATAACATTATATATGTTTATTAAACTCTTATTTTTCCCTTGTAAAATTTACTAAAATGGATTAACGAGGTTTTCATTGACTACCATTAATTGATCAAAAGTTGCCACGATCATCTTAATAACGTGACTTCACAGAGAATTATTCAAATAAAAATACATCAATTTTCTCTGAAGTTATATAATAATTTGGAAGAGTTTGATTATTGGCTAAAGAAGAAAACAAAGGAAAATATTTTTTCAGATTTGCTATGTATCGTAGGGGCTAACCTACGAATTATTAGGGGCTAACCAACGTTTCAACCCAAACATGTGGGTCATCTTCAGGGCTGAAAATGTTTTTTTAAAATTACAATCAGAGATATAATAGTATACGACAGCTTATTATAAATAATAAATTATAGTGATTGATGGTTAGGACTGCGTTCTGAATATTTATCACCTATGATATGTAGAACAGTCGACTAACTTCCTTTAAGAATAATTTTCCAAGTTTGTATAATTTGTAAACTTATAAATAGATTACTTTTTTTATAAAATTTAAATTGTTTAGGAAATATCCTAGCATGCCATCACTTAAATATAGATACAAATAGTAAATTGTAAACATAACAGCTAAGAAGATATTATACAGATAAATTTAACTTCAAAAAGGATATCACAGAGGGGGGGGGGGTCTGTGATATCTAGCAGGCACTGACTTTTCATTCTGGCTGGAGGAGGAAAGAGTGATGGGTCCTCTTCATAACTAAAGTCGCGGAAGTTTATATTATGTTTAAAATTATGAGGCATAATTAACATAATGATTGTATTACGAACAATATAATACTATATATATAACAAATATATTTTTACTTTATTGCGTTTGGGTTATGAATATATTTACAATGACGTTGTTAACATATTGATATACCATTGTTAATATATTGATATAACATAAAATAATGCATATTTTTATTTAAAGGTTTGAGGCAATGATAGTATTTTAAATTCTCTGATGCTTTAAATCTACCGCAGGAAATTTGTTAAAATCTTCATGTAAAAATAGAAGGTTGCAGTTGAATAATTCATAAAATCTTAGTCTATGTTGCTACGTATAATTATCTTTGAATAAAAACTAATGTTGCAATAATAGAGACATAGGACATGCTATAATACTTGCTTATCTACTTCTTGGCTTTAGCTCAGCCATCTAATCCTATTCCTATTTTCTTAATTTATTTTAGTTTACATATTTTATTCATTCATGTAGATTAATTATTATTAATTTTTTTGCTCTTCAAAATATTGGGAAGAGAAGGGATAGTCCTCCAAAGCAGGCGCCGATGGTATCTAGCCTTCAAATACATAGTCGATATATATTTAAGTAGATGAGTTCCCCTCTGAAACCGGTAGAAATACAGATATAAATATTAAATACAGGAAATACAAATAAATATGGTTTCTGGATCCCCTAACCGCCTTAGAAAAGAGGTGTGTAAGAAACGTAGCAAGTTGAAAATGAATTTCCGGAAATAATAGTAAAAATAATACATCGTTGAAAAGCTGAGGATTTTAGAAAAAATAACTCCTAACACATAAAGTCGTAGAAAGTTATGAAAAGTGTCGAAAACTAATTTCTTAAAACTAATATTTAATGAAATGTTCCCATAGAAATTAAATGAAATTTAATTAACTGACTATTAACTAAATGTAATCTTAAATATTTTTTTTCTCTTTTTCTCGCCTTTATCCTTAAGGATCATTGGCGTTTTCTATAATCTCTTCATTATCAGATAATAAACCATTATAAAATAATTTGCAGCGTTTTTTTAAATCTATCCATAGCCCTAAAGCAAAAAAATAAAATAAAATAAGAATATCTTTATACATTTTGTTCATATATAGTATTATATTGTTCGGTTTACAATCATTATGTTAATTATCTCTCATAATTATAAACATAATATAAACTTCCGAAAGTTTTTTTTATGAAGGGGGGGTTCCATCCCCTTCTAGCTAGAATGAAAAGTCAGTGCCTGCTAGATATCACAGACCCCCCCTCTGTGATATTCTTTCTGAAGTTAAATTTAGCTGTCATGTTTACAATTTACTATTTGTATCTATATCTAAGTGATGTCATGCTGCGATATTTGCTAAACAATTAAGATTTCATAAAAAAAGTAATCTATTTATAAGTTTACAAATTATACAAACTTGGAAAATTATTTTAGGAGAATGCAAGTGCGAACAGGACTGATTGCAAATATATTTACACAGTTATGTCTAAATTGATGTTTTAACATAGCTAGTTGTATGCTGGAGTCCTCAGCTAGGTGTAAAAAAAGTTTTACTATGCAGTACAATCCTAACTCATTTATTGATTATATATATAGATGTATTTTCAATTTTTTCTCTGTATATGATGTTCAGAGGCAGGAGTAATAGATTTTTTTTACCATCGATTTATTAAATATGGTATGTGTCATTTTAATGGTCATAATGTGTTTAACTGATTAGGTCCCCCACTTATCCCTGTTGATCAAATAGGACTCCACCTTGACAAACGACTCACTTGGAACCCCCATACCAGACTGAAACGACTAGAAACCGCTCGACTTTTTCGACTACTGCAGCACTTACTAGACAAACGCTCTAAACTGCCAACTATTTACAAAAGACTCATATATATTACTATAATAAGGCCTATTTGGACTTACGGGATCGAGCTTTGGGGCTCTACTAAACCATCAAATTCCTCTCGTATCCAATCCATACAATCCAAAATCCTTCGTAAAATCCTTAATGCTCCCTACTTTGTCACAAATAAAATCATCCATAATGACCTTAATATACCACATGTTTCCGATTTAGATCAATCCAAATACCTGTCCTTTCATAATAAAGTTCTGAACCATCCGAACCCTCTCGTTTCCAACCTTGCTTCCTCTTCTAATCCTGATAACCCAGGCGTCTGAAAAGAAGATGGCCTCGGGACCTTCTAATATAGAAATATAATTGGAGTGCTACCAATGGGTAGTTTCTCTTCATGTTGTAAATATCATATTACCTGTTGTATTTATTATTAATTACAGTTGTAAATTTCGTTAATAAAAAAAAAAATGATTAGCTCTAAAGTTCAGTGTTTGCTCCGCTAAAAATCCACTTCAAAAACTTTGTAATAGCCTAACATTGCCACGAGATAATTTCTGTTCAAAGCAGGTTGGTGATAGAGAGGGTGATGATGTAATTGATAAGTGAGAATTGTTTGTTTGAGAGTAGGTGATAAACTTGCTAGATTTTTAGATTTTGAAGTATTAACAGTTTATGTTCATTATATACGATAACATGATATCATTTCAAACTAATTACTAATCAAGATACTTAATTATAATCATTTATTTTCTCAGTATTTTGAGAAAATTACAATTTTTTAAAATATATTTATACGATTTTGCGGATCTCTCTGAATAATTATAGTCGTCAAAGTTAAATTGCTCACAAAAGCACAACAAAGTTGGTAACTTACTTAATCCATCCTCGTTTACCACATTTCTCTATCTTGGACCAATTGTTTTCTTAACGTCCAATCTCCGGCCAAAGGCTTCCTTTATTCCGTTTTTCCAGGTCGCCCTCTAGGTCTTCTATCTTTCTTCTTTGCTCTTTCCGAAGGCGTCTGATAAGTAAGTCTTGCTGATTTGTCTTTTGGCATTCGAGAGACATGTCCGAACCACCTTAGCTGGTGTTCTACTATTTTTTCCTTTATATCCTGCAGACCCCGATTGGATCGGACAGTGGTATTTTCTATATACCCTGTGGTATCATCTATTTGACTCGGTCTCTCTTGTCTTCCTTTCGACCCTATGCACATATTACATCTCCGTAGCTTGGTGTTGGCTCTTACGTTTCCTTTTTAGGGTCCAAGACCCGCATGAGTAAGTCAGTATTGAAAGGAAGGTATTTTTGAAGATTGTTACTTTTGGAGTTCTTTCTTTCTCAAAAAACCTTTTGCAATGGCAATAAAGCACCTTCTGACTGCCTTAATCCTCTCTCTTCCTTCCAGCCATTTTCGTTCGAGTGGATTCCCAGATAGTTGATATCTCTTACCTGTCCAATTCTTGTTTCGTCCAGTCTAATGACACCCTAGTTGGTCCTCCGTCCGACACGCCCTGGAAGGTGAGAACAAATGTTATCTTTATATGTTTCATCTTATAAATTTTAATTGAAAAGTTGATTGTATCAAGTAAATATTTTTTATATATTCCTTGTACTCAAAAATAAATAATAATAAAAAAAAAATCGAAAATTTTCACTAAAAATTCTTCATTTATTGACGAAATAGTGGAATATTGTAGCTGAAAGTAATTGCTAGAGAACTCTGATCCTTTAGAAACTATTTTAATGGGATTTGAGGAAGAAATTGAGGGGAAAATTTAGTGTTTTTGATTCAGAGGCGTCAATTAGCCAATTAAGGAATTTTTCCCGTCTTTTTGTGACAAAATACTGGACGAAATAAAAAAAAAAAAAAAAAAGAAATACACATTTCTTTTTATATATACACACATTTGTTGTATGGAATTTACCTTTTTCCCTAAGCACCCCCCCCACCCTCTCAGAACATTCCTGAGTCCGCCACAACCGACACGCATGATGTTGTCTTTGACCACTAGCGGATCCAGGATTTAATTTTGGGAGGGGCTTCAGCCCGAAACCTTTATTTTTCATAAAAATAACGATAATTAGTTTGAAAAACAGAAAGAAACTACTAAATTCTATATGAAATGGTGTTTAAGTTATCTCTTAAGTACTTTTAAATGTAATTACACGAACAATAATACTTTAAGAGGTATTTTTAAATTTTTTTTCCCATAAAACATGGTTATATTTTTCCATTTTGGGGGGGAGGGCTTCAGCCCGAAAGCCCCCCCGTAGATCCGCCCGTGTCTTTGACACGTTTGTCTCCATGTTTATTTCTCTTAGTTGATCCCTCAGGTCGTGTAATTTAAACTGGAGATTATCTCCGTTGGTTTCAAAGGCCAAACGTGAAAAATGAATGTTAAGCCAGAACATCAAATGGTTAAATAATATAAGAATATAATATAAGTAGGAGGTACTAATAAGATTAGTAGATGCTGCATTTAGCTGTGGTTTTAATCATTTTAGGTTTTGTTTTATTTGTTTGATAAATGCATTAGAGAATTATTAGATTAAATGTATTAAAATGTTTTCGTGGATTAACAGCAATCAATGTAATTTTCAGACATATTTTCTTCTCGTCCCGTTCTATTGTCGCTGTTGTATTCTATGAACGCTATATTGTATAGGGCGTTGTCTTCAATGATGAGACATTCATACTAATTGTCTAAATATACACTGTAGGATGTATTTTCGGTTTAATTAATTTATATTTATTTTTAAATTCACTTTAAATTTTTATTTTCACTTACCTGAATACATGTAAACTGGATAAAATGGGAAGAACTGGCCAAACTATAGGAGTGAGTTACATGCAGAAAAAAGATAAATAAAACACGTACGTTCTAATTTATCCGAATTAATCCGAAAAATTTAATTTATTTAAATTTTATTTTCTCATTACAAATAGAAAAAAATATTTCACAACGGTGTATTATTTCCAAACAATTATACATCTAAAGTAACATTACCTTCCGAGTTACAAAGAAAAAAAAACAAAAGGTGATTCCAATTATTGGACTAAACTGTTTTTCTTTAATCATTAGTAATATGCTAAAAAAAATAAGCATTAGTTCAGTAACACATTTAAAATTTAAAAACCAAAACAAAGAATATAACCTTTGCAGTCGAACTTATATAAAATATCTCGAGAACGTATCTTTGTCCCAAATTGTCCCATTTTAACTAATTTTTCTTTAGGTAATTTTGTAAACTTTTTAAAAAAATCATACAATATCAACAAACAAGTGTATACTTGATGAGTTATACGGAAATGTAATTTTACCACTCCTTGTAACTATTTTTCTAGTTTATTTTCGTTGAAGTATGTTATATAGAAAAATTTAAAGGACATCGAGAAGAACCAGGTTTCATTAAAGTTAGTAAATTCGTTTAGTCTATAACAAAACAAGTTTTCGGGCCGCCATCTTGAAAGGAAAAGGCGGATCATCATCCAAATAAGCTGGATTTATTAGACTCTAAAAGTTCAATGTTTCACAATAAAATTTCTACTGTCGGTCCTATAATTAACAGCATTATATTGCAACATTTTGTGCAACATATTCTCAAACATCTTTATTTTAGAACTCTCTAAAATAAGCAGACAAACGCTCTAAGCTCCCAGTCACTTACAAAAGACTCATATACATGACTACAATAAGACCTATTTGGACTTACGGAGTTGAGCTCTGGGGCTCCACTAAGCCATCGAATTCCTCTCGTATCCAATCCTTACAATCCAAAATCCTTCGTAAAATCCTCACTGCTCCTTACTTTGTCACAAACAAAATCATTCGTAACGACCTTAATGTTCCTTATGTTTCTGACCTGGCCCAATCCAGATACCTATCCTTCCATAACAAATTTCAGAACCATCCTAACCCTCTCGTTTCTAACCTTGCTTCCTTTTCGATCCCTGACAACCCTCCGAGGCGTCTGAAAAGAAGATGGCATCGAGATCTCCTTTTGTAAATACATTTTTAGAGTGCTACCAGTGGGTAGTTTCTCAACAAGTGATTTCATGCTATTATATTCTTTTGTTCACATATACTGAATGTATTTTTACTTGTAATACAGTTGTAAATATCATAAATAAAATAAAAAATAAATAAAGAAAACAACTAATTTAGAGTGCTGAATTATTGCAGTGTTAGGCTAACATTTAATTTTATATACTACATCAAATTGTTGCTTCGTTGATATTTTATCTTTAGAGAGATATAAAACTTGTTCATTCTGTTACTATTTCTATTTGCCAACTTAATGTAATATACATCAAATTCCTTAAAAATGCTTTCTATATCTTTGCTATTTCGTTTTGGCAATTCAAAGTGCCAATGCGATCTTAGGATTGTTTTATTTTCTGACTTGAAGGGTTATCTTATTCTTTATAGGCATTTTAGTGACACAATCTGTCTAGTTGGAATTTTACAATTATAACTTAACTTCGATTCAGGGTTGCCCATCCTCAAGGTAGATAGTGCATGAACCTCCCTCTCTTCCCAAGATATTTTATTGTAAAACAATGGACGGATGGATGGCGCAAACAGATGTTTTCTCCTTCTCCCCAGGTTTGCAACTTTTCATAACGATAATTCTTAACTTCGTCGAAATCTGCCCTCTCAAAAATTTCGATGGCGTAGCTTATATATATCTTCAGTACATATTCAATTAATTTTATATATTCTGTCAAATGAACACGGCAATAAAAGTTGTTATATGGAACCAATTTTCAGTTTTCGAGAATTAATAGCCAATTCTATTGAACTTTTAAACAGACCCGAGGGAATTATAATGTTAGCATGCAGCGAAGTTCATTCAACTCATGTTGCGTGCAAAAATACTCGAGTTTGCCAACAATTATACACCGAGAATTTTCACACTGACTGTCCTCTCTTAATGAGCGCTTTCTGATGACAGGAATGACTACTAAAAGCACTCCATTCCAGGTCAACATTTTGCATAGTTTGGAATTGATAGAATTTGGAAGTGGACATGCTTTGGAACTTGAACCGTCACACAATTTAGTAAGGCATCACTGTTAAAAAAAGGAGTTACAGCCTATTTTTTTCTTTTCAATTTGTAGGATAAATTTAATTATTCAAGAGTACAATAATTATAAAGATAAATGTTTGTTTCATTGGAGAGATAGATCCTATTATCCGATCTAAATATAAAATAAAAAAAGGAAAGGCAAGAAAAATAAGATAAAGATGTAATGATCCAAGGACAGAAGCTTGAGATGAATCATTTTGGAATTCAATAACACACATTTCTGTAATTAAATTTCATCTCTTTGTATATTCGTCTTTCCAAAAGTCTTAAGGGACTAATAATTTTAGAGAATAATTTTAGATTGGTCGTTGAAGCCCTGTCAAAAAATAAATGAAACAAAATAAAAAAAGATTGTATTAAGATTAACTTAAAGGATAAATAGACAATGATGATATGGATAAATAATTTATATTTTTTTCTTGTTATTCCGTCTTCAACTTTAGTACTTGAAATATATGAGTTATAATTTTAAGGTAGTACATATTTTGATTATTTACGTATTTAGCTCAGATTATATAACCATCGATTATATAAGCTTCGATCAGCAGCAATCCTTGATGACACACCAACTCGTCCTTATTCCTTCTCTGCGGACCTACTTCGTTCCTCTTGGTATGCTTTCCCTCCTTTTTCTCTGAGGAATCCATTGAAGGGCAGTTTTTTCTAAAGCATCTTATGTTTTCCTCACAGTATGCTCAACCCATTTACATTTTCTCTTCCTTCTTTTCAAATGGATCGGGAACTGGTAGAGGACTTTCCATGGTTCTTCATTATGTCGAGGTATGTAAAGCAGAGGCAGTATGTGCAAGTTATCAGAAGGCCTCGGCAGTGCGTGTTCAGTATTTAGGGTGAGATGACTGAATGGATGAAGGAAGGTAATTAGATGGATGGCCTCGAGTGACAGGCGGATCAGCACCCGATCACTCTCGGCCTGCGGTGTAAGGGATCAAGCCTTAACACTCCGCAAGGACGGTAACCACAACCAGAGGAATCAAATTCCGGATTTGTGGGAGGATGCGATACTGACGGAGGGATCAATCTCTAGACTCAGTATATAGGACTGCAAGCGGACGGATCAGCGTCCAACTTACATGGAGATAGAGAAGAGGAAAAAGGTATCAGAATGATGTTAAATAAGAAGAGCAGACTAAGGTGAACCAATAGCGTCTATGATATATATACTGAAAGTCTGCATAAAGATCTACTCCCTGAAGGGGTGAAGATCCGGAGACCTGACAATTTGAGGTTTGACTGGGGTATTCATTCCGCCAAGACTACATCGGCTACCAAGAGCCGTTACTATACCAGTTATTTTGAGCTTTGGTCAGTATATGTTATCGCCATTAAACTTTATTAATAAAAAGTATTTACAATGAATATGCATATTTCAATTTACAATTTAAGTATTATATAATACAACAATGCGAAATAAAAGATACAATTTTGGTATGTTGCCCGGGTGAGCTTGTAGAGCGCTGCCTGGTAGCGGGAAGGTGAACTCTTTGTACCACGTGGCAAGAGCGGAAACTATGTCGGAAACTGTTGCCGCTACAATTAGATACGCGTTCTAACGTGAAGTATCCTTGTTCTGTTTTAGATATTTTCATCTTTAGTTTCAGTTTCCTTTCATTAGGTTTTGTCATTTATAATCTTTATTATGCTATTGTTACAGGCTCCAGAAGCGGCAGAAGGGTGGACTGATGTTAGACAGGCGAAAGAGCACGGCCCGCTCTGCCCCCAGATCAACATCTACTTCGGTGGCAGTCCAGCAGGAGTGGAGGACTGTCTGTACCTCAGCGTCTTTACTCCGGAGGTAGTATTCGAACAATAGTTATCACAAACTAAAGTTAAGAACTATTCCATGAATAGAAATACATTTATGCCTTGTTAAAACTGATTTAAAAGCTTCTTTACTAATAAATTCTTCTTTATGGACCTCTTCATGGCATTCCTAGTGTCGAGAAACGTCAATTCAACGCCTCTCGGTCCTGGCTAAGCTACCTCATTTCCTCTTTTTTGAGATTTTTCCTCTAATTCGCTATAGGAATATCTGGGACAGCTTCACAATCTCTTTCCAGTGGGCAAAGCTTTCATTGCTTTCTGTGTTTTTCTCTTATCCTTATTTGACATCCTCATTTCCACCATGGGTTCCTTGTCTAGCGCAACCCAACTTTTACTTCCACAAATGAAAGTTGGAAGGTACACAGACTTTTACATCATTTATTTTAATTTCCTTACCAACATATCGATGCTGCACTAAGCTGTTGCAGATAGGACAATAAAGATGGTGGGCTTTGACGAACCTATTTGTTACTTCCAAGTGACAATCAATCTTCCAAGTGGTGCTAATGAAAATACATAAATAGAAATACATTTTTACTAATAAATTCTTCTTTGTGGACCTCTTCATGGCATTCCTAGTGTCGAGAAACGTCAATTCAACGCCTCTCGGTCTTGGCTAAGCTACCTCATTTCCTCTTTTTTGAGATTTTGCCTCTCTTAATAGCTAAATTCCTGTTCAATTCTTCAAATAACAATTAATAATATTTTCTTCTTTTTTTTTAAATTATACATTTCCGTGAGAGCATCCGTTTTAATGTGTTATCATATTGCTTGGATTACAGAGAGAGGAGTGTCATTCTGATTTTTTTTTTTTAAAACTTCTTTATTGAGATATTACAATCTGTCACATTCAAGGACAATAGTAATAGTGATATAGAGTAGCTCATTCATACCATACAATAAATAAAAATAATAAACGGCAATATAATAATACTAAAGTAAATTGTATATAAACTAAAAGATATTAAACTAAATAAAAATAAACCAATCTAACAAAATAAATAAACCAGACATACATGGCTTGAGTGGAGAATCTGGCCATTGCCATAACTCCTATATATTCTTAACAAGTCTCTGGGCCACTGCCGCTTCAACCTTCGAAGAGGATTGTAGGGATGGCTGGAGCTAGATAGGGATTGTGCAATTGGATTTGGATGATATGTAAGGTTTTGGTGGAATTTGGAAACTTTTTGAGGGATAAGGTCTAGGACAAATGGGATATTAAGGTCATGATGTAGGGTTTGGTTGGTTACATAGAACGGAGCATCAACTATTGTTCGAACGACCTTCCTATTTTATAAAGAAGTTCCTTAAAATGGTCATTGGTAGTAATCATCCGAAATTCTACAAGAACATGTTTAATGACATCCTTTCTTAAGGATAAGCCTACAATGTACTGTAAGGAATAGTTTTTAAATAGAGAACTTATTTTAATAAACAATTATTAAACTTAAATTATTTTATCTTACAACAATGACAGGTTTATTGAAAGGATAATGTTAATTTTTAAACAAAAAGTAATTATCAAGACCATTAAAAATTAAATAAATTCTTTAACTTTACGCGAACAGTAACAATTTTTGATTGAGTAGCTTGCTAAGAGTCTCTATGCATTGAAAGTACAATATTTCAAACAAATAATTATTAAAAAAGATTGAAAAAATGCATCAATGATTTAAAAGGATGTTAGAATTCTTGTAGGGCATTCCCACATTAAGTTTTCTTAACTACGTAAATTATATCCTTTAGTTGTAAATAAGAACTTTCTAATTAAATTGATTCAGTTGCACCACCATGTATGTGTCGTAACAGAAAGAGGGCAAATACCCAGTGGCAGTCCATCTCCACGGCGGCGGTTGGATCCTGGGTGAAGGACCTAGATCGAAAGGACCTCAATACCTGATGGATGAGGACATTGTCGTCGTCGACTTCAATTGGAGAATAGGAATTCTTGGTGAGTAAAAAACTGTAATTCTTTGTTCTTTCACGCCGTTTGCAACTTTCCCGTTGTGTATCTGGTAAATCGATGTCAATGCCATCCTCTTACCGTCCTATTTCTCTTTTACCCATTATGGGCAAAATCCTGGAAAATGCTCATCTTAAAACGCCTGTATCCTTTCCTAGACTCTGAACAAATTATCCCAGATCACCAATTTGGATTCAGCACATCTCACTCCACTATTCAGCAATGCCATCGTGTGGTAAATGTAGTCTCCTCTGCATTGGAGCGCGGAATGTACTGCACGGGAGTCTTTCTCGACGTTGAACAGGCGTTTGATAGAGCCTGGCATCCGGGACTGATGTACAAACTCCGTACATTCCTACCACCTACAAACTTCTTCATTATCCGTTCCTACCTTACGTTTCTCTTCATGATATGCATGTCATGTTATTTGTTCATGTTTACTTGTTGTATTTATTATTAATTACAGTTGTAAATTTCTTTAATAAAAAAAAAAATGTAAAAAATGTAAAAGGAAAAAAGATTTTTTTAAAGAACTACCAAATGAATAAATATAAATAGTTATTGTACTTTTATTTGTTTGTGTATGTTCCAAGTGAGTCTTTTGTTCAAGTATATTCCGAGATGCTGTACATAACTTTGTCTAGAGAAAAACATAAATGGTTTGATTCGGTGGATTGAAATAGTAATTATATCGTATTTTTTCTCCAATAATATATTGCGTTGAATTAATCGTATAGAAATATCTCTAAAATCACAGACCTTCATGACTGCTGTTATTGCGTATCTCTACGACCCGCTAACGAATCAAAGGTTCTCCAACATTAGTAACAAGGACTTTGTTCTGTGTGGCAACCATTCAACTTCGGTTTTAAATATCCGATATTCATGGCATCATGGCCAATGATGTGCGGCCACACAATCCCACAATTACAGCCTCTACTTTACTTCTCTAAGTCTAATCTACCATATTTGGTTCTGGCAATTGCTTCTTCAGGATTACGACATCACTCTTCTCGCCAATAAATCAGAACATTTTAGCCTCTGCAGTTTCATGATTTAAATTAAATCAGGCTCACGGAACAGGTAATATAATTCGTAGTTCATGTGTAATAAATAGTCAGGAGGCAGTCATTTTAAGACTTATTGTTGCCGACGTTTCAACCGAAGCAACAATAAAATGATAACGTCCTGACTATTTATCACAAATTATTTGTAGAACAGTCAACTAACTTAATAATTTTTGGTTGCTATGGCACCTCCAACCTATGCTGAACAGGCAGATCTAGATGAACCGTAGATATACGCTCAGAACATTTCTTTCAAATAATTGACAGTCTCTTCTCTTATCTTTGGTTGTTGTCAAGGTTTCTGATCAATATGAAGACTGTAAGTAATCCGTGTATAACAGGCATGTTGGTCCGTCGAGAAATAAGACTACGTAGAAGGTGTTGTTACATCCCAAAGTAGGATCGGCATGCAGATATGAGCCTTCTTTTCGTTTCTACTGATATCTGAATGTTGGATGTGGCCTTGTGGATGTGAACTCAGAACTAGTTTAGATTAGTTTTGTTCAGTCATAAGTTTTACCGAAGTTGAATGCACTTTAATTCTGGCCCATTCAATGTTTTAAATTACAATATGGTTTATTACTTTAGCTGTAAAATATGTACACATTCTTCCCATGCTTTGACTTCAGGTTTCCTCAGCTTCGAGGATGACGTGGTTCCAGGCAATATGGGTCTCAAGGACATGGTGATGGGGCTCAAATGGGTGAAGCAGAACATCGCCAAATTCGGTGGTGATCCGGACCGAGTAACACTGTTAGGCGAATGCGCCGGAGCTGATGCAGTCTATCACTTGATGGTGTCCCCGATGAGCAAAGGTAAGCTCCTCATTACGATCTAGAAGGCAAGAGTTATGGACATTCCACTTTACTTATCTTGCGTTGTTGTAGGCCTGTTCAGCGGAGGTATCGCTGAGAGCGGCTCCAGCTACACGACACAAGCAGTCTCGCCTCCAGGATTAGCTAGGCAGAGAGCAGAAGAGCTTGCAAAGCTGTTCGGCTGCAAGGGATCCACCAGCGAGGAGATGGTCAACTGTTTACGAGGAAAGGACGCTCTCGAACTGGCAGGAGCCTTGCCCAAGTTTATGGTGAATATCCGAAGTATATCATTAAAGGTTAATGATATGGTAATTTTTCATACAGAGTTAATCAGAAGAGATGTTCTCTGATAGTGTTTGAAAAGTCCCTAGACAAATATTTTTCGCAGTCAAAAGACATGATGGATTCTTTGCGCAGAAAAGTAACTACGACATTTATTTGAATAACAATACTTCCCTCAATAGTGTAAATTTCATTATTACCCGGCTAAGTGAAGCAACAGTAGGGTATGTTTGACTTATTCGCTATAAGCTATATAACGCTTTTTAAAGTTTTGAGTAACGCCTTGATCGAATTTTAAGTTTGATGGCTGAAATTATTTGGGGAGATCCTCTGAGCTAAAAATAATGAACCATTATTGAATAAAATGTGTTTAATCCATTTGTAAAAAGCTATGGAACGATTTTTTGAGCGAACGGGTAGATCGATTTTTATGTATGATATCTTAAATTATTTGATGATATTCCCTAAGTATTTTGAAAGCGAAGCGACAAGAATGTTATGTGTTTTAGTTATCCACTGGAAGGTATGTAACTATTATTTTTTGACAAATTTTTACTTTAAAGGCTCTAGTTATTCTGTAATATTAGGTGAATGTTTCAAAATTCTGAGCATAAAATACGTTTTTTTTTTTTTTTTATTAAACGCCTCTGCCGTTGGCTATTAGGCCATTCGGTTCCTGGCAGCCCAATACAACTCCGCCATGAATCCTTTCCCATACATCTAACTGTACAGCCTCCAATTTATCATCCTCTTCCATCTTCTTTTTAATTGAAAAAGTTACCTTGATGGATGATTTAGCAGCGACAATTATTCCTGATGCAACCTGCCTGGATCTCTGCAGTTTATAAATTTGATATCCCGGTAATTGGTAGAACTGGATATTTTCAGTGGATGTGCAGGCTTCCACGATCCCATATAAATCAGCATCCTCCTTTGTAATAATCGTCTTCCATTCTGTGAATTTGTCAGCAGTTAGGCCACCAGCGTTCCTGAACATAGCCTTAAGCTGTGTATTGACTGGGCATTTTGGTTTCCTTAATTTTGATGGATTCATATTTTTGTGGATTCTATGATGTTGAACTGTCTTCGCGACAACAATATTGCTCATTTGTTTCAGCATAAAATACTGAAACAAAAATTTTAGTAAATATACCAATTATATTGTTTATCTCGATTATTTTTATTCACATCTGTCCAAAATAGTATTGACAATCACTGAATTCAATGATAGTTGCAAAATGTAATGGCATTAGGGGGAGGGAGAGAGAGGGAGGAGGCAGTACCCAGCGGCACCTCCTCCTGGCGTGATATTTAAATTAGGCGAGGAAGGTCCTCATTCAGCTCTTCTATGGACGTTCCTTGGTATGTATGTTGTGACAAGGCCATTTAGAAATTTGTTAATGCCATTTTGATGTCCCTGTAAGTTTTCACGAAAATCTTTGTAGTTCCATTTGTGGGTTCGTATGTGTTCGATATCAGTTGGCATATGAAGGCCAGTATGTAAGTTTATGCAGCTAACGTGCCATGAAGCTTTTGTCATTGTCCTGATTGTTTTTGTTTGAATATATTCGATTATTAATGGATTTAAAATGATCTCATGTAATCATATGTTACGAAAATAAACTTTTAATGTCGTCGGCACCATATTAAAATTACGAATATGCAACGTTAAATAGGCTCACGTAAGTTACTTTAACATGGGGCCGACTATATTTAAAAAAATAAAAATGTTAAAATATAAAAAAAACAAAACAAAAAAAAACCTGCTACAGAAATTGGGAAATTCTATCTGCCCTCGGGGAATGTACTTCCACATCTACTTAAACATCTTGGTAGATTGGTAGGGATATTGATATCAATTAATATTCAAACTTGGCGTAGTAATCAGGTGCCTAACACATCCCGAACAAAACTTAAGTTTTATACATGGACGAAATCTATTTGCTTGGTGTAATGTGTAGTGAAAAGCACCTGACTGTTACTCCAAATTTAAATATAAGTAGATATCATTTACTCTATTAATCCACCAAGATGTCTGAGTAGATGTGGAGATACATTTCCCTAGGGTGGAGAGAATTTCGTTAATGTAGTTAAGTTTTATTTTAATTCAATTTTTTTTTTTAGTCCATACCTCTGACTCCCAACATCCTCCCGCAGTCTTCTAGCAGCCGAGTAAATTTCAGAGTTTGATTAATTTTGTTTTCGTATATCGGACAAACCAGAACATGATTCAAGGTGCAACGTATCCATGGTGAATCATTTGTTACAGATATTACAGCTAAGTTCTGTTTGCATTTGTTATTTCCGTTTATTTATTGAGCTAAGTGAGGGGCCGTGATATTTGAATCTGCCACTCTCTGGAACGATTTCCATTCTACTCAGATCCTGTTGGGATGGAATTTTCGGCTTATCATCATATATTTCGTTATTTCATTGGCTTACAGTCTGTTCCTCTCTGCAGCTTATAATATTTCCAAAAAACGTCTATTTAATATCTTATTTTCCAGAAATGGCAGATCGACCCAGTGCTCTCGTTCAGTCCAGTGCTGGAGATGCACTCCAAAGAACCAGCCCTCACCGCCCCAATGTCCACCTGGAAGACGGCCCCGGTACCTCTACTCACAGGAATCACGTCTGGAGAAGGGCTTCTCAGAACAATGTGTAATATAATTTATTCTTCATTGTAAAATTAAACATCTAGTGCACGCATGTTTTCACATACCAGTCTACTTTGAGTGGACATTATTTTTTCTTCAAATTTTGACTTAAATGGAATTAATTTTATCGGTTCATTGCAAGAAGTCATTGAAGTACATTTTTAATAGAGATAAATTTTAATAAGAAAATTAATGATGTAAATGATGTTTATTATTATTGAAAATATCAAAACGTTTCTTTCTATATTATCCGAGGGATCTCAGAACTATTCTCCTTCATTTAGCTTTCAATTTTTGAAGAGATGTTGGTTGGGGTGTTCATTCAAAAATATCTTTCAATACCTTTAGCACGCAGTAGAACAGGGTCCAAAACTCAGTGCTGCGTGAGGTCACGTGACTCGCCTAACCTAACCTGTAAGGAAAATCACCATGGTAGCCGGTAACAGCATTTCAGTGTTGCTCTTTAACTTTAACAAGTTTTTAAAATATTATATCTATTAAGTTGTTAATTACAAAGATAATCATGTTTCTTTGAAAAAGTCATTATTGATATCATGGCTTTATAGTAATATTTTCCAGTCAGTCTTCACCATTATTTTAATCTATTTTTATCTAACTAAGCGAAGCGACGCGAGGTTTATGAGTTTGGGTTGTCCGCTAAAAGCTATAACCTTTTTTGAGCAAACAGCTGGATCGATTTTTAAGTTGATGGCTCAACAGCTTATACTACTCTCCCCCCCCTCCTCCCAAGATATTTTATTGCTCACCTTTCTTAAAAACAGAGCAAGCTAAGGTAGAGTTAGAAAAATCTCAGATCATATATAAATACACTTGCTGCGGCTAGCTCCATGTGATACCCTTGTCCATTATTCCAAAAATATATAACCCCGTCAAAATTTGCCTCCCTCCAAAATTCAAAAACCCATCAAAATGTCCGCTCAAAATTTTTGATTACTCAGCTTGCGCCATGAAACTCTCTTCTGGGTACCCTTTAATATAATGTGTTTAATCAATTTGGTTTAAGCTATGTAGCGATTTTTTGAGCGAACGGATAGCTTATTTGGCCCAGGGAGGGGGGGGGGCGGAGGCCGAGCGAAGCAGCAACGATAAACTGAAGTTTAATTTATTAATTATTTATCATTACTAGTTTGCGCCATGATGCCAGAGAAGCTTTTAACTCTGGCATTAATTCTCCGCCCTCTCTCCTGACCCTGGAAAAATTCCGTCTAGCCGAAAAGGCGAGAACAAATAAAATAATTTTAAACCTGATATGTTTACTAAGAGATGTCCTAACGAGAAAAGGAATAGGAAAGATATATCTTGGTAGGATGGAAGTTTTGAAGTTGGAGACTCGAGTTTAAGTTAATAAATACATGATACCCAAAGTGTGAGCAAGGCGCAAGCGCTGGCCATAGTCACTGACGTACCCGTGTCTCTTCTCTCGTGAAGAGTACCCTCCACTTTTCTTATACACTAATTATCTTTGCAACCGTTCATGAGGCAGATTTGGGACTTTTTATATTACTTTCTAAAGAGGTAGATAGGATCATAATCCACCCACTTTCTAGTAAATAAAAAATATATAATTGTCATATCAATAATTTTATTTATCATTTAGAGTAAAAGTGTTCAATTTACATTTTAGCGATGATATTTTTGTTATCTGCCTCTTCCTTAACCAAATCTGATAATCAACTATCTAAATTACCAATAATATTCGTAATCAGGAGTATATTGAAAAATATATATATAGAATTCAGCTCTGCAGATAGCATTAAAAAGGAAATAAATCTTGTTCGAATTAGAATAAGTATTGTTGAAAAAAAAGTTAGGATAATATTGGATTTGAAAAAATATTTCATTAATACAAACTATATACCGTTAATAGTTTACAATAAATACGACTGTACAATAAATCATGTATGATTAAAAATCAGAACTCAATCATTTTTGATAATGTTTATTATCTGCCATATATATTACTCGCTTCGAAGATTTTTCTTATACTTTTAGTTAAATTATTTTTTGGAATCTATCCAAATCTCCATACTTCAAAAAAAAAAAGGATTTATACATTTTTCTACATTTCGGATAATTTTATTCTATTTTTGAGATTTCCTAGAATCAAATCCATATTCTAACATTACTTCGGTCTTACAAAACAATTTCAATTTTTTACATGCAGAATGTTAATTTTTTATATTTATTATTTATTATTATTGTATTTATATTTGTAAGGTCCCTTACTTACCTCTTTTATTTTTTTTCTGAAATGTAGAAAACTGAATAATTAATTTTTTTTTGAGGTTTGGTTAAATTCCTGAAAAAAATTTAACTGAGTTTATGACATACGTTTTAACCTAATCATTTGGACGGTCTTCCGGAGTCAGTTCTTCTGAATGTATCACAAGACAGAGTCGAAAGAGATAAGAATAGAGGGGAAAATAAGGAGAAAAATGAAACGTAATTAGCAATAAGCCTACTGTTATGATATTAATAGTCTGTAGTAGAGGCTCCTTTTTATCGAATTATTAACATTCGCCTGAAACTTCGTAGATAGTTTCATCTCATCGTAACCAACAACTATTTTATTTACGAAAGCACCTGGAATCGGGACGTTTTCAATCTGGAGGGGAGCAAAATTCGTCCATTTAATTAGGTACTAAAAACTCGTAAATACCCATTACCTTTATACTTGGATCGTAAGATAATTTGATCACAAAATCAAAAAAGGTGGTCTTCAAAAACATTGAGCCGTTTGTGACCTACACCCCCAAAATTTCAAAATAACGAGATTATATAGGACAAATGGCCCAATATTTTTGTAGGCCATCTTTTTATCAATTTCGTGATCAAATTATCTTACAATCAAAGTAGAAAGCAAATGAGTATTTACAAGTTTTTAGTACCTAATTAAATAGACAAAGTTTGCTCCCCTCCAGATTGAAAACTGTTGTAAAATACTTGTAAGCTACGATGAGATGAAACTATTTACGAAGTTTCAGGCGATAGAACGGGGTCTGTACCACGGACTATAAGGTGCACGATAAGATATCGTGAACAGTATTTATAATAGAGTTCTGAGAGCACATTCACACCATATTTACAAATTAAAAAAAAAAAAAAAAAATAAGCTAATATAACTTTAAATAATATAAAGCTACAAAAGAACAAAATAAAATATCATAGTGAAGAAAGAAAATATAAATAATAGTAATAATAGAATGAATAAAATAGAATTAAAATTATCTTAAAAAAAAAAGTAATGAAAATAAACATCTTAGATGCAGGCATACCTATTTACAGTATCGTGAACATCAATAAGTGATTTGTGAAGTCTGTGGAATGATAAAATTTCTCCTCGGATAGCAAAGTGGCCACACCATATATCCTTGTTTCTTTTGCCTCAGTGATAACTGAGACAAAACACACAAATCGGTTAGAAAAGAGTGGCTTAAGAGAAAAGACATGATCGTTGAAGAAAATAATGTTTTTAAGAAATCCTTAGTTGAACGAGAGAATATCATCTTTCATCTACTGCAAAACAAGCTGGGCCTTTTGAAGCAGTTTGCAAAGGCTCTTGATATGGGAGGATCATATTTATTCGTATTTATATAGCAAATAATTAAAGCAGGAATATTTGACAGCCCAGAAATTAGAAAATTCATTAAGAGGCAAACGAAAAGCAGAAAATAATGTTGAACTGTTAAACGATATGCTTAAAAATGTAAGTTAGGTGACAGCACTGAAGAACAAGATGAAAGATTTCTTAAAGATATTAAAATTACGGGAGATCCTATCAAGGAAGACGAGATGATGGACGGTTATTGCTGGGGCTGTTCAAAGATATATTAAAAAAGTCACGGAAAAAGAAGCTTGCGAGGTATTGAGCGACAAGATGTTTCCATCGATGACTTGGTACTGTACTATCTTTGTATATATAATAATATTAGTATATACTAATGCTCTCGATCAATCTCCGCTGGCTTTAATACCAGTGACGCGATTGAGAGAGTAGCGCAAGGTTCTCCTGGAGTTCCCTCGTCTGATTGTATATAGGTATGCATGTGTTTTTTTTTTTTGCTTAGTTTTAATTATCTTATTTTTTAGGTTATTTTATTTTATTATCTATTGTATATACTTTTGATTATGTATTATTGTATATTATTTTGTTTCTATTTATTTTTTTTTTGGACATATAGTGTGAATGTCATCCTACCTCACTATAACCAGCCAAGAGACAGATTGTTGTATGACTCAATAAGTCGATTAAAAAAAAAAAAAAAAGTATATACTAATAATATTAGTATAATATAATAATATTTGCGTATTTTAATAATAAAGGTTTAATTTTTTTTTTTTTTTAAACTTTTATTATGATATTTACAACTGTAAAGGGGACCCTACACGGTCAATCGGAACTGCACTAATGACGTTCCGAATTGTCGTGTAAGGTAGTGAATGAAGTACCTTTGGTGGTGCGCTGCGGATTTCCGAACATCCAGAAATCAAAGGTTCATTCACCAGAAGTGATAGGTTAGGTTACCTAGGCCTCACAACCATTATAAATTTCTAATTTTCATTATATGTAAATAGTTAAATAATTTTTCATATCCCTTGTTTATATGTTTAAACCATCTTCAACTATTTCTTTTAAATAGTCAAGTGGGCAACAAATTAAAAAAAAAATGAGGAAACTTCACAATTTACTTTAGGAAAAAAAAAACTTTAACGTTGTGTATATTTATCAGTTCTTTTCCCATTTTCCTCAACAAATTTATTATTTTCGCAATACCTTTCCTTAATTTTTGTAAGTAGTAGACTTATATTTTACTAACTTTTGTCAAAACGATTTTCTATGAGACTAACCTTACTACTAGATGGGTTAGTTTACCTAAGTCTCGTTATTAAGTAAATAATTTCATAAAAGTAAATAGTTGTTTATATCTCTAGTCTATTTTATTATTAACCATTTTCAACTATTTTTTCTTTAAAAAGTCAAGTAGACAATAAATTGGAGAGAAAAAAAAGTGGAAACTTCACATAAGTAATGATCAGTAATGATTGAACGTGTAAGGGTCTTCATGATCAAAGCGATAGCGGGCAATCTTGGAACTTCTTGTGACGTTCATTCATGAATTACCGTGTAGGGTCCCCTTATTAGTATGAATACATCAAGTAAATGTGTACAGAGAAATATTATCACATGAAACACGGTTGTTTAGAAACTACCCACTGGTAGCACTCTAATAATTTGTCTACATGAGAAGATCACGAGGCCATCTTCAGTTTAATGTTTAAATTTTAAATATGGATTTAACCTAACATAACGTACAATTCATCCAAAGGTCATATCTTAAAAATTTGACCTTCTAGGCAAAAACTAATGCTGAATGCCATGCCAAACTAATTTTTTTTTTTAAGTTTTCACCAAGAATTTCGACGTTTCTGAATTAGAATCCGACTTCAACAACAAAATTTCAAAAACGCTGATGCTGGGGGAATTTTCTTCCGATGGTGACAAACTAATGGCTAAAATAAGGGATTACTACTTTCCTGGAAAGACCATATCCACCATTGACAACTTCAAGAACCTAACTGATGTGAGTATGATATATAAAAAATTATGAGGTATCAAATTGTAGGTATTCAATGTAATGTAATGAACAAATAATATTTTTATGTTGTAAATTTTTAAAAAAGAGACAGTAAACCTAGATGATGCAAGTACTGACTAATTAATTGTACTACACAATATGGTCAGATTTTTAAGTGATGGACAGCTGATTTTTGGTTTCAAATAATTTTGAGGCATTATTTATTTATTAAAAAATCTGTGTTAATTGTTAGGCAATATGGATTTTATGCAGTAGAGGATACCAAGCAAGCTTGTTACAACTCATTGCTGCAATAAAATAAATTGTATTCTATTTTGTGCATAAAAATTGCTTTTCTTCTTCAGCCACCGCCGAAATGCGTTGAATCAACTAGTTCTTTTAATTTTTACACAAAGGCCTGATAGAACGGGTTGTTCTCCTTAGCCATTAGCTGAGGAAGTTCGGAATGCCGCTCTAGAATATAGTGCCCTGTTTCCCTCAGCAACATGACCCTCAGTACCACATAGACGGTATAGGACACCAAGGACGATATCATAGCCATTTTCAACATACTGTACTCGAAAACCTTGATGCCTTATGATAAGCTGTCCGATATCGACAATAATGATCCGATTTCGATCATTTTAAAAAAAATATTATCTAGGGAGTTTAGTAATCTTTTAAATAATTAGGTGAATCACTATGTGATGCAGTAATCCAAAAATTTCTTGTAGCATAGCAGTAGTCAACTACAGACCGAAATATGGTCAAGATCGATAACCGAAAAAGAAAAATTTAACCAACGCTGATATAAATCTGAACTAAACAAAAAATTAGATATTCTTCAGTATTTATTCAAAAAATTAAACAATAGACTGGCCTCTGTGAATAATTAGCACAGTACATTGATCATCGAACGAAGGACAAAACAACAAAGAAATAAAATAATGCACCATATCATTAAATGGAGGAATCAATTCTAAATTTATTTTAAAAGTTCATTAACGTTTCCAACCAACGAGTTAAACAAATTACTATAACCTGTATCCATGCTAATAAAGATCCGATTTCGATTTTTAAAAAATATTTTCTATGGAATTTGGTAATCTTTCAAATTATCAGACTCGCTATATAATATTTAAATATACCTAAGAAGTTTCTTTTCCTTCATAACTTTTTCCCTTAAATTACGGGGTATGTGACAATTATTCTCACCTGACGAGAGAAGAAAATCTTCAAAATAAGTGCTCAATCATTGGATTTCATGATTAACGAAATTCAGAATTAACGAAGACATGGCGTACCGATAAAAAACAGCATCATGAAATAATACATCCGTGATAAAGACATTAAAAGTCACTACATTGGAATGTGGCACTGCAGGAGGCAGTTAATAGAATGTGGATCTGCGGCGAATGGATTGTGGGTTCGTATCTTGTTGTTGACCCCGTGGTAATTTTTTTATTTATTTATATGATATTTACAACTGTATACAAAAAATACATAAGGAACATTAAGGTCATTATGGATGATTTTATTTGTAACAAAGTAAGGAGCATTGAGGATTTTACGAAGGATTTTGGATTGTAAGGATTGGATGCGAGAGGAATTTAAAGGTTTGGTGGGGCCACATAGCTCAACTCCGTAAGTCCAATTAGGCCGTATTATAGTCATGTAAATTAGTCTTTTGTAATTAATTGGAAGGTTAGAGCGTTTGTCTAGTAAGTGTTGAAGTAGTCGGAAACGTCGAGCTGTTTCTTGTCGTTTCAGTCTGGTATGAGGATTCCAGGTTAGACGTTTGTCCAGATGGAGTCATAGGTAACGGATTTGTTCAACAGGAATAAGTGAGATGTTGTTAAAGGATACTGAAGGACAGGAAGTCATTGGTTTACGACGAAGGGTGAAGGTAATTTGATGGGATTTATTGGAATTTATTTTAATTCTCCAGTTCTGACACCATTCTTCAAGGTTTATGATGTGGGATTGAAGGGTTTGGGATGCAGTAGATGGGTCGTTAATAACTGATAGGATACATGTGTCATCAGCATATGTGGTGATGACAGTGTTGGGATGGGTTGGGATGTCAGCTGTATAAACTGTGTAAAGGATAGGACCTAGGATACTACCTTGAGAAACACCTGCAGACTGGGAAAAGCGGGATGTATAGACATTGTTGTGATTAAAGTATCTATCAGTAAGGTAGGAACTTATAATAAGAAAGTATGTAGATGGTAGGAATTTTCGGAGTTTGTACAGCAGTCCCGGGTGCCAAACTCTATCAAACGCCTGTTCAACGTCGAGAAAGACTCCCGTAGAGTACATACCGCGCTCCAATGCAGAGGATACTACATCTTCCACACGATGGCATTGCTAAAGGGAGGAGCGGAACCCCGTGGTAATGAATTCATAATGATGTAGAGATCATAATGATCTTCTGCAGTCTGCAGTCAATCAACTGCCTCCTGCAGTGATACATGCCACTGATGAAGACCAGCAAGGTGGGTCGAAACGTCGGCCTAATTAAAAATACTATTTTTTTTTTTTTTAAATAAGTATTTATTTGACCGCACCCCCCGACCAATTCCTTCTCATATTATATCACGGTCAACCATCTCTACATCATTATAATCTAAGATACTTATACAAACCAGAACTTAATACTTGAAATAGTAATACATCCGTACATATATTATTATCCGTACATATATTATTACAGTAAGGCTCGAAATCGGTTTTGTACCAAATATAAGCTCCTGTCATGCTCAAATACCATGAATGGGGTACCGTTGGATTCGGAATTTCACGGGGGGTTAGCGAATCGTATTCTCCGCTTTTATTTTTCTTTCCAAAATAAATAAAGTCGATACAAACATTTTGCTAGGCTTCAATACTGGAACGGTGGTAGGTCTGTAGATCGATGCGGGACAAATTGGACATTGAAGATTTTGATGCGTACAGCAAAACCCGGATAGTTCCTCCGAAAAGCCCAAAAACGTACCATTCTCGAGATAACGCAAGGCATGGGGTTCGCATCCACACAACCTGACGTTAATTGTAGTACTGTCATTGGATACATGTCTCATTTCGTCGACTTGAGGTCTCTATGATCGAGACAGGAGGAGTTTATATTATTTATCGATGGTGTTTTTGATCGGTAAGCCATATCATCGTTAATTTTTCACCAAATCTCAAGATTGAGCCACCAATTTCGAAGGCTTCCTTCTCCTTCAGGCGGGAAAAATATTCCAATCACCCCGAAAATTCAGGCAAACAAGTTATGAAAAAAAAAACTTTATTTGCGAATAACTAAAAAATTACACAATTTTCCCTTGGTCATTCCCATAATTGTATAAAACGTTACTAATTTTCTACAAAAGGAAAAAAAAAATCATTGAAATCGGACAAAGATACAGCTTATTGAAATTTGTAAATATGTTGGTTCCAAACAAAAATGAAGATTTAAATTAATTTTGTTTCCTTTGTTTATTATATTCATGGATAAAGTAACAATTGATTTCTTTATCTTTTGATACGTTGCATTATTTTATTTTCTTATTAATTTGGCATTTGATAACAACATGCTGTGCGAATTTTTCGCACGGGCCTACTAGTTTACTATTAATGGTTGTTTTGGAATTATAACTGATAAAAGTCTATGTACACAACGAAGGGCTGAACCAACGTGACTTTATGTATTCAGTAAGTTTATGGTAAATAATATTAATATCGTTTTCCAGATGATCGGGGACAGCTGGTTCTCCTTCGGAGTCCTGGAAGGCGCCAGGCTCCACACAGCTCCTGTCTACATGTACTACTTCGACTATATCGGCGAGCATACGATGTCAGAATTCTTCGGTGACAAGAGTCGAGCCACAGGTAAATATCTATCGAAATCTGTAAAATAATGGAAAGCTCTCGTTTTACTTGAAATGAATAGAAGCTAAAACAGAACTGTCTGGTGGGCTTGAAATTAGATTGATGAGACTAATGAATTGATTTATTCGATTCATCTTTGAAGTAATCAGGAACTCCCACACTTGCAGTTGGATGCGATCAGATGTACATCTAGGAGTACCGCCTCCACATTAGTGTTGCCCAAATGCGAGACCGAGACGAGTCTTGGTCTTGCAAACTCATTATTGGTCATGGTCTTGGTCTTGCGCAAGGGTTTCGCAACGGTCTTGCAGTTACTTATTAGCTTATTACTATAGAGATATTACTGTAATTTTTTAGATAGGAGAAACCTAAGTAAGCCCGAATGAAAAATTAGAGGATTTAAATGCAAAAGTATATTGGTTATACTAATTATTAACATACAGTAACTAAGATTGTCAATTATTAGTAACTATTTTGTCTTAATTTTTATTTAAAAAATTGATTCTTTTTATCAGTCCTGATCTTGGTCTTGTAATAGTTAGGTAGCCTTGCACTTTGCAAGACCAAGACCGATTTTGGGCAACACTACTCCACATACAGGCAAAAATATGCTCAGTTGAAGTGGCTATATCCAGTTTCCCGATGGCAGTATTTTTAGGTGTATTATTTTTCCGAATCTTTTTTGGTTAATCCTTACCTCACTTTTTTCTTATCTGCTAGTTCCTATGTCCATTCTTTCAACAAGAGATTCCAGACCACAAACCTGTATATTCCTTCTCGTAAAAATTTTTATAGTGTGTGCTTATTTTATCTTTACCAACCGTCATAAGCAAAACCTCATATTTAACTTCAACTACACTATCAATCTTTTGAATACATCTAAAAATTAAATATGTGTATTGATCTGTTGCTAACCTTATTCAATTGCTACTTCAGATTTATTTATATTCATTACCACGTAAATATGTAAGCATGCAGTCATACAATTAAATATAACTAGTGCACGCCAAATAGTCGAAATTCGAGCATAATCCTCATTAAACATTTGACAACAGTTTTTAAGAGTTTTTATGTTCTAAACTTTTTTTTTTTCTAATCCTATTTGTATATAGGTATGTATGTGTTCTTTTTATTTATTTATTTTTAGGTTATTTTAATCTTATTTATTGTATATATATTATTTTTCTGTATACTTTATTTTATTTATTGTACATAGAGTGTGAACGTGATCTCAGAACAGCATTATAAATGTCCTTGAGACAGATTGTAATATTTTTCAATAAATAAGTTTAAAAAAAAAAATACTATGTATTCGGACATTTACTTTTATATTTACTTACAAACGGAGCGGCATCATTTGTGTACTTTTTGAGTGATTGGAAAATAAAAATGTGAATCTATACTTTTTTCAAAACAATTTTTGAACCCACTTAGCTCTTTTAGTCGATACGAATTGTTTCATTTTAAGATTGTACTTATAGTATAGCAATATGACAAATATAAATTTGGCATAATAGAGCTCTTCTAAAAAATATAAATCGAAGAAATGTAATAACAATATCTTATCGGACATGATTCTTTTCAATTTCGATTACTTTTTCTTTTTCCTATTGAAGAGAATTCAGGAAATTTTCGAATACTCATAGGTTTAAAGTAAGGAGATGGTCTGGCGTGGCGGTCATAAATATACTAAATAGTGGCAAAACTATTTTATTAAAAGCCAACGTTTCGACCCGACGTTGCAGGTCTTCTTCAGGGCTAGAACGGACAAGATACAAAAATATAGAGAATTGTAGAATTAACATAATATTTAGACAAAAAGTTATAACAATGTGAATAAGCTTATTAAAATTATCAACAGTAAGTACATTAAAATATAAACAGAGTAAGCTAAGTAACAAGATCCTAAACTGAAGTTAATAGATGGTAACAATTGTTGTAGTGTAATATATAATATATGCAAATATGAATATACTTCTACAGATCTACAGGAGAGATTGAAAGAAAATGAAAAAGGATATAATATGAAATAATAGACATAAAGGAATGTGGAGAAAGAAAAGAAAACTAAAAAATTAAATATAATTAGAGACTTACAGATACTATAATTTTCTAGCTTTTTCCCCATTACCCAAACAAGTCAGCAAATTCTCCAATACCTTCCTCTACCCTGGTTTTCCAGTTCTAAGCGAAAATCCTAGCTGATCACACCTGTAAGTCTCTAACTTTATTCTTCTTTTATATATAGATAATTTTAATAAGCTTATTGACATTGTTTATAATTTTTTGTCTAAATATTATGTTAATTCCACAATTCTCTATATTTTTGTATCTTGTCCGTTCTAGCCCTGAAGAAGACCTGCAAAGTCGGGTCGAAACGTTGGCTTTCAATAAAACAGTTTTACCACTATTTAGCCTATTTATGACCACCACCTCGGACCATCTCCTTCCTTTATAATACAACGGTCAATTATTAAATATCCAATATGACTCATAGGTTTAATAAATAAAATTCTGAATCCATCTTTACTTTCTTTTTCAGTCTCTTTTCGGGGAAGTATGTTGAAAGGGCTTCAAAAAGAAGACTTTAGCCAAGTCTAATTAAAATCGTTATACACCGTTTTGGCGCTGTAGGCTATAGCTATTCACGTTTATCGGCTGTAATTTAAAAACTAAAGACCAAATGATGGTGAAATTTATATAAAAACACACCTAAATTTAATTGCAATGTTCTATTGAAATTTCAAAGTAATCTATGGAGAACTTTCGGATATTAGCGGTTTTGAACAAACTAACATTTATATAATCTTATTTATATATACTATTTCCAAACATTAAAGCTCGTGAATAGCTACTAAAAAACGGAAAATCGTTTGAGAAACAGAAGAAAAAGGTACTGAACTGCTTTGCCTTTGTCTATTTATATAATGATTTTATTTTTCCATATGTAAACTAATACTATTATTTTACATTAATTTTAATGATTACATAACTTCTAATTATCTGTCAGACAAATTTAAATATAATTGCTATTGTGCATTTTTATTATACTGAGGTCCCAGAGCAAAATTGACATTTTTCTTCAACATTGTTTTTTTTTTCAGGAGCATTCCACACCGACGAACAGATGTACATCTGGGAGATGCATGGACTGCCTCCACATACAGGCAAAGATCTCGATATGTCCAAAAACCTTATCAAGATATGGACTAAATTCATCAAGGACGGGTATATTTTTCATAACATATCTAATAAATTTTATTGTGTACAGAGAAATTATCACAATCAATCTAGTGATGTAGTCATCCGTTAAGAATAATATACTTCATCTGGATCGTAGGCGCCAATGGGTGAGATTTCACTAGGTACCCCTCCCACTTACCTCCCAAATCGGCTAGTAACATATTGTTTTAAGTTTAATTAGAGGTGTGGATAGAGAAATCAATGATTAACTAGAATAAATATTGAATTTCAAAAGGTATGTTAAAATTTAAATTATTTAACAATGATTACGCTGGCTTCAGTTGTTAAACACTTTATGTAAGACCCCTTTCGCCACACCCATTTGTCGGCTCTGATGCACATAAATTAAAAACAAGAATCATATCTGGTCCAAAGATTTAATTAATATAAAAAAAATGCAGATATTTAAATTTTCTTCATAAATTATATAAGAAACAAATAGTAATTCTTCAAAAAGTTAAACATGAATATGAACAACAATCTATATAAATAAAATAAAGGTTTTGTCTGTACAATGAATACAATCAACCCTTTTTATGATATGTTTCCTTTTCATACTTTACAGACACTAAATCAATTTTTAAAAAAGTTTTTGTCTGTCAGTATGTCCGCATTGTCCAACGAAATTTTGTCAGGAGTAAGCTCAGCAATGGGCAATGGTAGACTTTTGAAATTTGGACATTATATTTAGGTTTACTTGACTTAAAACATAGGCTTTAAATGAAAACAAAATATTGAGTGGAACAAAAAGTTATGAATTCTTGATTAATTTATCTAGAGATCCCGGTTAGGCAGTTACTTATATCGATTCTCATTCCAATATACTCTTCTACCGTGGCTCACATTTAAAAGTTGTACTACTCAACTTCAAACTGATGGAAAAAATTGTCACAAATCAACGGGAACTTTTGGAGTTGATTGATGATAATTTATTGAAACCATATTTGGTTGGGGGATTATCACAAACTTGAAATTTGATCCGGCTTCATATATTGAATTATTTTGATAACGATTTGGTACCAACATCCTTGGGTTTTGTTTTTATTCTTTCTCTACAGTTTACTTGGAATTTGACCCGGCCTCGTATTTCTATAATGAATTATTGGAACAACATTTGGAATGAATTTCTTTGGATTTTATATTTTTTTTCTAGAGTTACTTGGTACTTTACCCGGCTTTGTCTTTTGATCTTGAATTAAAACAATAAATAATAGATACGTTTTTTTGTTTTGATTTTTTTTTTTTTTCTTACCCTCCAAAATTGAAACAAATTATATATATAGTATACAATATACAATATATACATGTGATAAATTCCTTCCACTGCCCGAGGGCATTTTAAGGATTGGGGATAGCTAAGGGTTACATATGTGGCAGAAGGCCTTGTGACTTTGACATTGAACGGGGAAGGACCGTTCTGCTAATTTTTTATTATTTACAATATATACAAATTAATGAGTTTGGACCGCAGAGACCAGACCACATCCTTCGGCGAGTATGTCCACCAAAGGGAGTTTACCTTGCCACCTCCCAGGTCTGGGTGGTGGTGAGATCTCATTGAACAGTGGGTTTGCACAGGCCTTCAGCCCATCAAAAAATTTGATGTGCCTCCGGCCTATGAACTCAGGTACCGAGGGGAGCTGGAGCTCCTCGCGTATTGTTTGATTCTTAGCCCTTTGTAGGGTGGTGCCACGGACAATTCGCCGAAGGATAGAGTTCTGGAAGCCCTGTAGACTCGTAAGCGTGGATTTATATACGTATCGCAGGAGAGGGGCCCCGTGGAGCAGTGTTGGTCTTATAATAGCTTTATAAATTTGGAGCTTGAGTCTCAGCGAGAGCTGCGGCAACGTCAGTAGGTGGTAGAGCCGGTGTGACTTCTTTCGCGCCAGCTTGATCCTCTGCCTAACGTGATTGTAGAAGGTCAAATGTCTATCTAGCGTGACGCCGAGGTAGACAATCGAGGTAGAGATTTTATGATAAGCTCCTCCAACGGTGAATTGTGTGGGTAGATGCTACTTTCCCTTCTGAAACGACATGACAATAGCATCAGTCTTCGCAGGATTCACTCTGATACCGATCTCTTCTAGCTCTTCAACAATTGTGGCTGAAGCGTTCTGTGGCTGAAGCGTGCAGTCTCCGCGTTGATGCTGGAAGCATATATGCCAATGTCGTCCCCATAGGCTGCTGCCACCGCCTTTGGATGCTTGAGTGCCACCACTGGCGCCGTGAAAACGACGAACCAAATTTTGTAGGTTTTAAAATATTTTCTGCAGACAAATTGTGTGGGATTTTTCAAATTTGGTTTTAAAATATTTTCTAGGGATTGATAAAAATGCCTAAAAAAAAGTCCAATTTAATTTAAATTACATTTAACTACCATCAACGACGGGTACATCATCTAGTTGTTATATAACAGTAAATATATATTATTAATTGGCAATAACATTATTTAAAATAAAGCTACCTGTTTCTTATCTGAATTATTATAAATATACTAAAACTATTATTATTTTTTTTATTAGAAGGAATTACAATATGTTTGGTTTTCCCATTACTATATTTATAATGTAAAGCTTGTTATATAACTTGATTTTCTGTAGATCGCCAACTGTTGCCGAGGTGACTAAAACGGAATGGAAACCTTACCTCCCCGGTGAGAACTACATGGAAATAACTAAAAACGGATTTGAGCTGAAGCAAGGTCTTATCACTGACAGATATAATTTCTGGAAGTCACTCAACTCCCGTGACAAACTCATGTAATATATAACACAATAAACTTATATTCTTATAATGTTGACATTATTTGTAGCTTCCTAACTATCCAAGTATCGTATATAAATAGTGATTAATATTACTGGATAACTATTAAATAAAATTTTATTATATACAATTTTATTTTATTGAGCTATAATTCCAGTACACTCTTAGATATTTAAGCCTTATAAATGATTCCTAACTTAATTTTTTTAACGGCAGTTGGGTACATAAACTATAGTGAACATTTGTTAGGAGATAAATACTCCTGGACTCTAAAAAATGATAAAGATTTAGATCAGTCAGTGAAAATTAAATCATGTTTCAGTAATGCTTGAATTAATTTTTGAAATTTATCTCTCAGATCGAGGCCTCCAAATGTTATGCGTGGTCTTTATTAATCTACCGCTAGAATCAAGTAATATTTAATTATTTAGGTTAAGAAAATTTGAACATCAATAGAATTAGTGTATGTACATATTTAGTGATAAATAAAAATAGTAACGGTAAAATAAAAAAAATTATTGCAGACTCCATTAGCAATGCCAAACTTACTGCGGCCTTTAATGATTAAACGATTCCCCACCTACGATCTGTGTAATTTGTTTTACTGAGTCCCACGGTTAAATAGGTTTGATGGTTGGAGTAACGTGACATTTTTGATTGATTTGTAACCAACAACCAATCTTTGCTATCGATCAAGGAAAAAACAGATAATCTCTACTCAATATTTGAAGATTTACGTTTCGAGATATGTGGAATCCAAAAATCACATTTCAAAAATCCGTTAATTTATTGTATATATATTTATTATATCAAACTTAAAAACCACCTCCATGATCTTGAAAAGTGGTTTGGAAAATGGCAAATCAAAATAAATACTAATAAATCCATTCACGTTAATTTCTCTCTTAGGAAAGCCTAAATAAAGATTGCCAATAATCCGGTGCCTTCAAAGAACTGTGTACAGTACCTTTGACTCTACTTAGACAAAAGACTTACTTGGAACATAGAAATAGAAAATAACTTTATTCTGAGACAAAGTCCCTTTAGAATAACAAAATAGTACATAGTTAAAAGACTACATCTGGCAAAAATAAAACAAGAATAAAAAAAGAGAAAGTATAGAAAATATTACTTAAACAAGCTATATACAAAATAAATCTATATACAAGACACTTAAAAATATGTACTGTAGGAAAAATTGTAATTATACACTTTTGAGAAATAAAATAATAAAAAATACATTGTGTTTCTACTAATATAGGAAAGACGAATCTGACGATATAAAATTTCACGGTATATAATAATGATAAATATCTAAACATATCATTATCATATTGTAACTACAGTTACAAATTTATTTGTATAAGAATAAAAAATAACAAAAAACAAACAATAGATACAATAGTATTGAGAGTCGGAAGATATTGTAAAATCTCTAGTGAAGTTTATAGTATGGAATAGTACTATCATTTTATGATGAATGATATAATAGAAACGTATAATATCAAAAGATTAGCAAGTATCTGGCTGTTTTTGGGATAGGAATTGGAATAGGAGGGTTTTGAACATGAATGAGGAGGGGAATGCCGGATTTTGATAGGTGGGGAATTCCAGAAATTTACAGCGCGAGAAATAAAGGTATTCTGAAGAGAGGCAGATCTGTGAGAAGAGTTGTAAAAGTCAGAAGGTCGAGACCTTGTTGAAAGGGAATGGGATGAGGACTTGAATTGGAGAGGGTTGTAGGCGCAAGAAGGACGATGGTTGTTGATGATTTGATAGAGGAACGTACCTAGGAAATATTGTCTTCGAAAGGAGGGAAGAGCCACCTTAACTCAGTGTATTGGTGAGAGACATGGGAGTGCCTCGGGGCACCAATAACAAATCTAACACAGCTATTTATTTACATTACATAACATGCATACGAAATTAAAAAGACAAGAACTTACTAGAAGATATAGCCAACTCTCACATCTTCTGGTGAGACAAGCGACTGATCTACAACACCATACTGAGACCAATATGGACATATGGAGCAGAACTTTGGGATTCGGCAAAAAAAAACACACATACACAAAATACAAACCGCATAATCGAAAATTTTACGAAAAGTTGTTGACGCACCTACCGGTAAATTTCAAATAATACAATACATAACGACTTAAACACCCCAACTGTATAATCCTACATCCACGACAAAGACACTACATTTCATTATTCAACCCAAAATCACTCCAATCCTCTGGTTCTTTCTATCTCCTGTTCCCTGATACCTGAACGACGCAGATTAAGAAGAAAATGGCAAAGAGACCTACTTTATCGATAAAAACAAAATCAAGCAAATACACCAAAACAATATAAATACAAAAAATTTGCTGGATGAACTGCGCGCAGGTGCAAATTGCATAGAATATAAAAAAAAAAAAAAACCGTGCTCCCGCTGTCTGCGTCTTTTCTTCCGAGACTACTGGATCGTTTTGAGATTTGGTTTCAATATCAAAAGGCACACGAGGAGGATCCTGGAAAGTCGGTATTACCATCTACCCTTTGCTTTCAAGATGGCGGCCGAAAAATCGTTGTTGCTATTGACTTTAACGCCAAAACGCCTATTTTAATGAAATTTGGTTGAGACTAGTCATACAGTTTGATTAAGAGTTTCTACTGCATCCTACGTATTCCCCAGATCTTGCCCCATCCGATTGTTTCCTTCCTTAAAAAATTCTCTCCGTTATAAATGTCACAAACCCTAAAGCGAAATAAAAACGCATCTCGGTGAATACTTGCAGAGATGGTTACTGCAACCACAAACATGTAATTTATCATTATGACATGATGTAATGTATATAAAAAAAACTAAATAAAAAAAAAAACTTCCAGAGAAATGAAAGAAGGTAATAGAGCCAAACGGTTCATGTATAACACTATAAATCGACCTCAAACAACAAATAAATGAATAGAAAAGAACTTATGAGACAACCTAATATTACATTTGATATATAACCATTTAGAAATAATAAATCATTGTGTAATAATTTGCAAGGTTTTTTTTTCTATCCTAACGCAACATAATTTTTAAAAAAACATGAAACGAAAATCTCCTGCAATGGCAGTATTAAAAAAATAAAATAACAATAAAAATAATTATAAAAGGCTTAGCGAACCTGAAGGTTCGATGCCGACACCAGCAATCGCTTATTACACACTTCCCTCCATCGTTCTCCGTCTAAACCCAGTCCCTTCAGATCGGCTTTAATGCAATCTTCCCACCTTCGCTTCGGTCTACCCCTCGGACGCTTACCATTCGGCATAGCAAATATTAATCTTTTAAGAATTCTCTCGTTACTAAGCCCAACAACTTTACAAGCCCATTTGATTCGCCGCGACGAAATTACCTCAATTATATTACACGGATACAGTTCACGCAATTCGGCGTTGTGTAACCGTCTGAACTCTCCGGTTAACTCATCCTTCTTCGGTCCGAATATTCTACGCAATACTTTATTTTCAAAAACCTTAAGACGCTGCTCATCCCTTAATGGAAGCGGCCAAGTTTCGCATCCATAAAGAACTATAGGCAAGATAATTAAAAAAAAAAAAAATAAAAATAAAAATAAAAATACTGTGCTCACCTATCGTATCTCTTCTTATCCATTTTTTTTTCAAAACATAAATAAGACGAAAGTATAACCTCAATCTAGGACAAGTTACATAGGACTCCATATGGACAAACGTCTAACTTGGAATCCTCATACCAGACTGAAACGACAAGAAACAGCTCGACGTTTCCGACTACTTCAACACTTACTAGACAAACGCTCTAACCTTCCAATTAACTATAAAAGACTAATTTACATGACTATAATAAGGCCTATTTGGACTTACGGAGTTGAGCTATGGGGCTCCACCAAACCTTCAAATTCCTCTCGCATCCAATCCTTACAATCCAAAATCCTTCGTAAAATCCTCAATGCTCCTTACTTTGTTACAAATAAAATCATCCATAATGACCTTAATGTTCCTTATGTATCAGATTTGGCCCAATCCAGATATCTGTCCTTCCATAATAAACTTCATAACTATCCCAACCCTCTTGTTTCTAACCTTGCTTCCTATTCAATTCCTGATAACCCTCCGAGGCGTCTGAAAAGAAGATGGCCACGTGATCTCCTAATATAGACATATTATTAGAGTGCTACCAATGGGCAGTTTCTCAACATGTTGTACATGTGATATTACTTGTTCATATTTACTTGTTGTATTTATTATTAATTACAGTTGTAAATTTCGTTAATAAAAAAAAAAGAAATAAATAAAAAAAAAAAAATTACGTCCACTTCTTGGCATGTATATTTTTTCGAGACGACTTCAATACTTCAGCGCAGGAGTGACCTTCATGACTTCATTCATGGACCTTAAAGAACCATGGCCACTGCTACCATCTTCTTCCACATATCCCTGTCAGCAGCGGAGCGCCTCCAACGTTTTACTCTCATCTCCTTCAGGTTACCTTCCACTTCGTCCAACCATCTGAGCCGAGGCTTTCCACGCCTTCTTCTCGGCTTTACATAGAGAAGTTTTCTCGGCATTCTTATAGGGTTCCAAATCTGTTGGGTTGAATCACTCTAACAATATCAAGTTCATCATATAGCTCTCTTAGCTCTAGATTAGACCTAATTCACTATTGAGCCTTCTCTTTAATTTGCCCATAAATTTTTCGAAGTACTTTTCTTTTCCATACATGGAGCATTCTTTTGCTTTTTCTAGTCATGGATCATGTCACTCTTCCATATTTCACAACAGGCCTCAGAATTCTTTTATATATTATAGTTTATGTTCTTCTTGACATATTTTTGCAATTCAGCAGCCTTTGTACACTGTACAGACATCGATTCCCAGCAGTAGTGTTGCCCAAAATCGGTCTCGGTCTTGCACTTTGCAAGACCAAGACTAATGCCACTTAGCTGTTGCAAGACCAAGACCAGGACTGGTAGAAAAAAATCGATTTTTTGAATAAAAATTAAGGCGAAATAGTTACTAATACTTGACAATCTAACTTTTGTTAGATATTTGTAAATAATTGCTCAAACCAATATACTTTTGCATTTAACTCCTCTAATTTTCGGGCTTAGTTAGGTTTCTCCTATTTAAAAAAATACAGTAATATCTCTATAGTAATAAGCTAATAAGTAACTGCAAGACTGTTGCGAGACTCTTGCGCAAGACCTAGACCGTGACCAAGACTGAGTTTGCAAGACCAAGACTCCTCTCGGTCTCGCATTGGGACAACACTACCCAGCAGCTGTACGGGCTTTGATATATTTTTCTACTTGGTTCTTGCAGATGATCGTTACAGATGATGCTACCGAGGTACTTAAATTCGTCACAGTTCTTGAATCTCTAGTTCCCTATTCTCATTTCCTATCCTGTCAATTGGCCTGTTCTTGAGGTCCGCGTGTACATGCGTACATGTGTACATGCGCGTGTAGGTCTGTATTCATTTTTAGACCTAGTTCTCCAGCTTTCCTCAGAAATTCTTCAAGAGCGCCTGAAGGTACTGGTAAAGTCCTTGCTGTTATGAGAACATCGTCTGCATATGCTAAATCTATGTTAATTGTACCTCCGCCATTTTTTTTTTATTTTTCTTATGGCTGCTTCCAATACCAGATTAAAAAAGAAACAAAAAAAAGAGGAGATAGTGAATCTCCTTTACTGTAATGACTTCACATATTTTAATGATGAATAGCGATGTTGTTTTCCAGGTCAGAGGTTTGACCCATTGACGGTCTGTTATAGGCGTAGGAACATAGATCCTCTTGCAACCGCTGACTCGAAACAGTCATTATCCATGGATCTCGACCTATATATATTTTTGTAAGCAACATTTTTTCTCGATTTTGTAATAAAATTATCTCATGATTTAAATGGAAAGCAAATGGATGTTCATGAGTGCCTCATTAAAGAGACGAGGGTTACCGATCTTGATATTGAAAATCTGAGAATTTTCTTAAATAAATAAGTTGTAGGTTACGATAAAGGGACTTTAACCGCGGACTATTTTAGTGCTAAAGGAAAAACAGTTTTATTCTCCTTTTTACTTTTTTCTGGAAAGTTGTATGATACTATTAGTTATTTGGCAATGATTACTTCCAATTAGCAACAATAGAGTATATTTGTTGTATTATCAAAGTTGCATGTTTACAAGTTTACGTTTCGGGATCCGATTACTCCAGCACTTACTAGACAAACTCTCTAAACTTCCCATTAATTACAAAAGACTCATATACTTGACTATAATAAGACCTATTTGGACTTACGGAGTTGAGCTATGGGGCGTCACTAAACCATCGAATTCCTCTCGCATCCAATCCTTACAATCCAAAATCCTTCGTAAAATCCTCAATGCTCCTTACTTTGTCACTAATAAAATTATCCATAAAGATATTAATGTTCCTTATGTTTCAGATCTGGCCCAATCCAGATACCTATCCTTCCATAATAAACTTCAGAATCATCCCAACCCTCTCGTTTCTAACCTTGCTTCCTCTTCAATTCGTGATAACCCTCCGAGGCGTCTGAAAAGAAGATGGCCCCGTGATCTCCTAATGTAGTCATATCATTAGAGTGCTACCATTGGGTAGTTACTCAGCAAGTGTATTCATGTCATTATATCAATTATGTCCAAATTTACTTGATGTATTTATGTAATACAGTTGTAAATGTCATAAAGAAATAAAAAAAAAAATAATAAAAAAAAAACGTTTCGGGATATTTACTCCCATCTTCAGAACCACAATCCCAATGATCTTGTGGATCAAGGCTTAGAAAAAAAAAAGAGACACCCAATAATAAGTCTAAAAGCAAGATGTTGCTCTAGATGTTATATACTTAGATTATTATAACATGAATTAGAAACTGACGATGGAGCACATTATTTTTAAGCCTTGCATCCACAAGATCATTGGGATTGTGGTTCTGAAGATGGGAGTAAATTTCCCAAAACGTAAACTTGTAAACATGCAACTTTGATAATACAACAAATATATTCTATTGTTGATAATTGAAAGTAATCATTGTCAAATAACTAATAGTTTTATTCTCAAATGACAAATCACCGATCTTGAATTATCAATATAGATATGGAAGCTATGGAAATATAACCTGTGTAAATGGTGAGGAAGCTTTACTGACCCTACCCTACTTCACGCTAAACTGGCAGATTTTATTATTTTTTTTAACACAGTGATCTCTACAATAAAAACATTATCTAGCTGGAAGACTGTGAATTCCATACTACAATTCCTTTGTATTGCTTGGACTAAAAGCAGATTAAAGGCTCAGATAAAGAACCGATAAGAATCACCTGAGATTGAAATATACAAGATACGTAAGTCCTTACTCAGTCGAGAAATGAAGTCGATAGTGTTGGTCGGAGTTTTGTTTACATTAGCTACGGTTTACGTTTACGCCGACCAATCTTCTAGAAATGGTACTCGTCATAATCTTAAAGGTAAGTTCCTGAAGGCCCCTTTAGTGAATATGTCCCTCCATTGCTAGACGAAACTAACAAAATGGTCCCAACCAGTGTTGCCGCGCGCTCTGTGACAAAACCTCGTACTCAAGCCTCGTACATCCTCGTACGCTTGTTCATTCATAACTTGCACTGTTATAAGCCAAGTGTTTTTTTTTTTTTTATAGTAAAATTAGATCAGAGCTTTTTATTTTTACCTCCATTCATATATTTTCAAGCCTTTTTACATTACTTTTTTTTAAAGTTAAATGGTCAGGAAGTAAAATTCGCTTAATAAAATATATAAAAAAGTTTATATATTTTTATTAGAAACTACTGGACACTTTATATAAAAATTAAAATAGCTAAATACACTTCTTAAAGTACTCTTCATAAGTAGATCCAAGATTTAGTTAGGGGGAAGGACTAATTTTTTTTCTTTTTTCTAAAAACAAAACAACTACTTTTATGAAAGGATGTTAGTGGTTCTGGAAGGTTAATAAAAATTAATTATTGGGGCATTGATGCTTTTAGAGATATCCATTATAATATAAAAAAATAATAGATTGTGATTGTTTCAGTATTTAGCTTACAATTATATATCGCACAAAATAAATGTGGACCACTGAAAAAAAATTTGTTTTTCATTATTTAAGATGGGTTCATTATGAATACTAGTTAATTTTTCAATTAATTACTTTACTCGATTAAATATCGAAAATAATTGTTTAAATTACGGCAATTTTTAAAAAAATTCAATTTATCTAGAATATATTTACAATTGCAGTTTTATGAAGGAAATAATAATTGCGAAGGAAATAATGGATATACTTTCTCGTATTTTATTTTATGCTCGATAAAAATGACGGTAAAAATTTCTGTTTAGTTTTCCTTTACAACACATTTAAAAAAATACATATTTATAAATACGTTTTATTAAGGAAATAATGGATATGGTTTCTTATATTTTATTTTATACTGAATAAAATCTAAATTTTTTTTTAAATTTTATTTTCTAGAAAATTAAAAAAAAAACATATATATACAATCATGGTTTTATGAAGGAAATAATAATCATACTCTAATTAAAGAAGATATAATTGCAATTTATTTGTCTATAAAGCAACAGAAGTTCAGTCAGATCAACATAAATAATAATACAGACAAAGTAACCGTAAAACAATTCTAAACTTCATTCATAAAAATATAACCTTGCATTGCAAACGTCAGCAAAACTTATGTACGAGGTACGAGGCTGATCTATCCTCGTACCTCGTACATTACGTCATAACCTCGTACAAATACGAGGATCCTCGTACAAACGGCAACACTGGTCCCAACCTCACTCCATTGTCAAGTTGATAAAACAGAACGTCAGTTGTTTATATCAACTGAGTTGCATGATGAAACACTGAGATGATATTACGCGATGCTTCTAATCTATATTGATACATAAATCCACAGAATTCGTTCGAATAAACATGTTTATTTCAGAGTCCACCAGTCTAAGTGTTAACAGATATGGTGAATTACGCCCATCACACAAATTTTTATTGCTACTCTACTTTGAGAAGAAAGTAATTAAAACAACGACAACAGAAATTGATACATTTTATGAACCCTAAAGAAATTTACTTCCATATCTACTTGAACATCTTTGTAGGTTGATGGTGGAATTGATAACTACAAATATTTAAACTTAGTTTAGTAGTCGGGTGCCTTTCACTACACATTACGGCTTCAGACAAATAGATTTCATCCCGTGTATGAGAGTAAAGTTTCGTTCGGAGCGTGTTAGGCACCCCATTCTACACCGAGTTTAAATATTCGTAGATGTCGATTTCCTTATAATTCTACTAAGAAATTTAAGTAGATATGGAAGTAGGCGTTGATAGAATTCCTCAATTTCTGTAGTTGAGCTTTTTTTTAATTTAAATACTTTTTTTAATTTTACTTAACAATTATCTCCATTACATACGATCACATGATATTTAAAATCAATTAATAAACGAGATACTTAAACTACAATAAAAGTGTTGTTAGTATTTAGTGTTCAAAGTATTTAAAACATTCACGGGATCTCTCTGAGTAATTACAGTAGTCAAATTTAAAATTTGGTCATACCATCTATTAGATAAAAAATCATTAAATTAAACACACAAAGCGTATTATTATTAGATTAAACACACTGTATAGTAATTTGCCAGAAATTTGATCTCAAAGTCTTTCAAAACACTCACAGAATCTCATCAAATAATTTAAAATAACAAATTTGAAAATCGATCCAGGCCATTCGCTCAAAAAATAATTACTTACCCTTTAGCGGACAACCAAAATATAAAACACTCCTGTCACTTTGCCTACAAAATATTCAGGGTATATCACCGAATAAATTAAGATATCAAACTTCAAAATCGACCCACCCGCTCAAAAAGTCGTTACATAGCTTTTAGCAAATTGATTTAAAACATTTTATTCAATCACGGGTCAGTGTTTATAGCTTAAATTGTTTCAAAACTCCCAAGGGATCACACCAAATAATTTAAGCACTCAAACTAAAAAATCGATAAAGCTGTTCGCTAAAAAAAACATTACAATGCTTTTTGCAAATTTATTAAACACATTTCACTTAATAACGGTTCAGTATTTTTAACTCAAATTGTTTTTAAACACTCTGGGTATCTCACCGAATAATTTGAACCATCAAACTTAAAAATCGATCTAGAAATCGCTCAAAAAAGCATTATATACATAGCGAACAATATAACACGCGTATCGCTCAGCTTAGTCAAGTAATAAATTACTAGCTTTAAGAATATTACTTAAATTGTAGGCACAAATGTAAACCAACCGGAAATTATTTTTTTTAAATACAATATTCTTGTGCACTACTGTTTTTTTGGTATGTCCATTTGAACATAAACTTTTTTTTAATAATAACATTTATATCTTAAATGTGTTTACAAATGCCTTTAGACATATATTGTAAATGTGATTATCATTAGTGAACTTCCCCGACAGGATTAACATTAATGCTAGTTTGGAGAAACCTCCCAGCGAAGGCACTCCTAAAGTGAAGTTCTGACGTAGCAGATCTCTGCTCCAGATACGTTCAAGTCTCCTTTTTGGATTTTGTGGTAGTGTTTCTGTCAGTAGTGTCTATACAAGTGAATTAAGATGTCCAATAATTGAGCAGTGAAATATAATTTTTGTAATATATCTTATTACAAACCCTTTTCTGGAAAAACCATGTGTCCAATATCTCCTGACGTACTTTTTCCACCCTAAAACACTTAAATAGCCTGCGACACCTTTTTCCTTTTGAAATCCGTAGACTCCTGGTCACCTCTTTAATATTTCCCCATTTCGACTATTGCTGCACGGTATATGGGGGCGTCTCTGAGGATCTCGAGGCGACTAAAACGTTTGATAAATTGCTTTGTGCGATTCATCTTTGGGATCCCAAGAGACGCCCCTGTTTCTGGTTTCTATGCAGAGTTGAAGTGGCTTTATCCTTCTAACCTCCGTAAGTATTTCCTGGCATCCTCCCTCTTCCAAGTAATTCACTCCCGCCGTCCTTCATACATCGCCGAGCTCCTTCAATTTAAATCCTCTGTCCACTCCCGCAATACCAGTCCCCGGTCCTCAGATCCATATATAATGGCCCACCGAACCGCTGCTTTCGATAAATCATTTATTATTCGATCCTCTTCCTTATGGAACTCCATCCCTCCCCACATCCGTCAATTCAAAACCCTTCCTACATTTAAATCCTAACTGTTTAATCATTTCTTATCCATCCAGTCCTCATCATAAAATTGTAAATAGTTACTACTGTAAATATGTATATAAATTATTAGATCGTTCTTTATTATTTTTACTTCATGTTTATTTTCAATTTTTTATTTTTTATTATTAACTGATGTAAATTAGAAAGTAACTTATAATTTCTGTAAATATTTTTTTATTTATTTTTTTTGACTATTTAATCAAACTATATTCTTGTTTATGTATCTCTGAGGCTCCTTGGCCCACATTTTTGTCTCTCTGTATTATTCTAAAGGGACTCGTCCCAGAATAAATAAAGCATTATTATTAATAATTAAGTCAATCACATGTGATATTTATAGGTCTATATGTAGCGATTTATCAGTAAGGTAGAAGGGACATTGTTTAATATATCGGAGATATTTAGATTTGAAAATTTGGATAATATGTAAGGGTGTTTTTTTTTTTTTTTGCAGGAAACACACACCTAAATGGTATAAGTCAATATTGGTCTCAGTAGCATTTTGTATATAATATTTTTTTAGAAAGTGATAGTTTCTTTTTATAGTGTAGTATTCTTCTTAGTAGACAGTTGGTTGTTCAATCTCTAATTTAAACCTTAATATTAAAATTTTAAGCAAAGTTAAAGTTTTTAATGGCTCTATGGAAATTCTATTTAGGTTCTATGGCCACTTTGTTTTCTATTCAGTAACATATAAGAATAAAAAGGAAATATTTTAGCCATAAAAAATGGCTTGACCTCTCTTTCCCCATCTTTACGTCTATACGGGGAAATTTTCTATGAAGATAGCCAGAGGACAGTAGATGATGCCAGGAATAAAGGCAGAATGATAATGATTCAGCCAAAGACTCATAGAATTTTAGAAATAGAAAATAAGAAGCGCATAGGCAACTCTTGGCACAAAAATAAAACGATCCAAAAGATCATCTTTGAGAGTAGAGGAGAACAAACAATGAGGAAGAGCATTATTGACTACTAATCGACCAGTACCTAAGAAGGCTCTTCAATGATATAAAAGTCATAAGAAGGGGGGGGGGAGGGACAGAACTTAGCACAGACCACAAACTAATTACGGCAGATACGAAAATTATCAAATCAAGAAAGAGATTCTGCAAATCTTATGATCGGATTGATGTTAGCAATGTTAGTTTTGTGGTACCGGGGCAAGGCTATCTACTTGGAATTCCTGGATCTCAAGGCTGCTTTTGAC